TATAATAAGACTTTTCTCTTTCTCTAGTAAATCCTATAAGGTATATATAAAATTAACTATTATGCTTTATATCTTTACGTTTTCTGCTCTCTTCAAATTTCTATTATTCTTATTTATAATAAAAATTACCGCAGTAAATTTAAATAAAAGTTTTATTTTATTTTATTTATAATTAATTATAATTTTACTAAATATAATTTAAGGCAATAAGCCAAGTAATCCGAATACTTTATTATAAAAAAGAGTATATTATATAGATCCTACTAAGTAATATAAGTTGTCTATTATTATATCCTTTAGCCTATTTTTCTTATTAGATAAGACCCCCGACTTCTGCCATTACTTAATAGAGTTTAGTAATTATAGATAAGGTGAAATCCTAGTCCCCCTATAAGAATCTAAGATATTACTATCGAAAATTTTATTATAAAAAATATTTATAAATATTAAAACTACTTTAAAAGGCATGTTTAAATTGCCTTAGTTAAGGATTAAACGGATCGGGCAAATGGCTAATTCTTGAATTATCTATAGATAAGTTTAGTACGGATTTCTATAAAAGTAAAAGAGTATTATAGTAATAAGATTACGAAAATATAAGGGTCTAAATTTATTCTCGTTATTTAAGTTAGCCTACTACTTATTATTAAAATACAAAACATCCCTTAATAAGGGTAAGCCCTCTAGCTTATTATAGTTATAATTAGATTTTTATGTCTTTATATTAATTCCCAAAGCTGTTTTTAATATTTGCCTATTATAGACCTCTAAAATTATATTATAAAGGCAAAGGTTATTAAACGAAATCTTAACCTAGAAGTTTAGGCCTATATTATTTATTTTATTATCTTTAAGCTATACTATTACTATTAATAATTAGCTTAAGATATTTTTTATCCTTAGGATCTAAGTATTATATTTATTAATATTGTTTTAATTAATATAAATGGTATTAATCTAGACCTTATCTATAATAAAAGACTAAAGGTAGTTTAAAGTAGTAGCTAGGTTCTTTTTAATAGTAATGAGTATCCTATTAATAATAATTGTTTTTGTATTTTCTAAGCTTTTCTATATATAACTAATTACTTTATAGTTGCCTTATATAAACCTAATAATAGTATGAAATATATTTAAGGATATTAACTCTAGTTTAAAATTAAACTATTTATATTAAATGTTATTAACTTAACTTCTACTTTATTTTATAGGGCATTTAGTACGAAATATTATATATTTTAGCTTAAAGTTATTTAAAGATATATATTTTAGTATTAGGTATAAGGAATTAAGACATAAACCTAAAATGCAATCTAGGTAACTACTTAAGTTATTAGGTATTAAGAGAGGCTTAAAGAATAAAACTCGAATTTTATTATAAAAAGTATTAAGAGGCTTATATTAAATATGTTATAAGAGAAAGCTTGAGGCTAAATCCATATTTAATTATTAATATTAATAAGAGTTTGAAATAACTTAATAGAAGTAAAAATTTCAAATACTATTGAAATAAATTAGTAATTAAGATTAGTAAAGACTATATCGACTCATTTAATAGAAATAAGTAGTACTAATGCCTTGTATACCTGTTATATAATACTATTACTAGAGAATTAGCTATACTCATATATTAATACCTAATAGGATATACTATATCCTATTTAATACAAAACGACAAATAGAGCTAGTAGGGCCAATTACGAAGTCCTTTTATAGGTGTCCCTATTATATATTCCTAGTATTATTTTTGGTAAGGATATATTATAGCTCTATTTATCTTAAGAGTAAAGCTATTCTCGCCGCTTAACTTATCCTATATAGATCTAAATTAGTATTTTACTAAGTTTTGGATAGGGCTATTATATATAAAAAGAATATATATATTAAGAAAATATATATATGCTTTTCATAGCTTTTATAATCTTCCTAGTTCTAGAATTCATAGCTTAGATTATTTGCCCTAGCTAATAGCGGTGTCTACTAGCTAGGTTAATTATAGTATAAGATTCAAAGTATATAAGAAGTTCATATATAGTAAGAGGAAGGTTTTTGGTTCAGGAAAATAGGGGAGTAATATAGTAGTAATTAATTATAGCTAGAATAAAAGTCTAGAGATTACTAATCTAAAGTAAAAGGTTTTAGCCTTCTATATCTAAAATTAGATTAGTAGCAAATACTTTTACTTTATTTTATAGCAATAATAGTAAGTATATATACTAATAAGCTAAGGCTTTAGAGCTTCCCATAAGGAGGCAAGTTAATAGATTAATGTACTATAATTATAATACTTATAGTTCTCTAATAATTATTACTACTTACTCCTTAAAGGCAGATATTAAATAATTAAAATACCTATTTTTAGCTTAAAGTCAATATACCGGCCATGTTTAAAGAATATATTTTATCTTTTACGGTTTATAATTTATTATCTTATAACCTTTATAGTTATATGAATTAATATTTTTTTTTATAGGATATTTATTTTTTGCTCTTTTAAGTTTATTATTAGGCCCGATAAGGTTATAATTATAGTTTACGAGGTAATATTCACAAAGTAATTCCTTATATTAATTATATTTATATAGGAAAAAATAGCAAAAAGTATAACTAGCGAATTTAAGTAAATAGACATAAATAAAAAAATATTTATATGGTTTATTTAGTTTGCTTATATAGGAGATTATTCGATCTCGAAGAGCTTTACAGTTTAAGTAATTATAGAGGCAAAATTATTATTGCAAGAGCCTCGAGTACTTAATAAATAGAGATCCTCCGTAGCCTGTCCCGTATCCCGTATCTCCGTACTAAAGCCCGAGAATAAATGGCTATTTAAAGTTTAATTAAAGAAAAGGAAAAAATCCAAAAATAGCCTACTTAACTTATATAGGTCTAGTCTAGAGCCATTAATATCTATATCCAAAATATTTAATTCTCTTAAATATTTTTTTATTAAATCTTAATTTAACCTTTATATTTACAAGTTCTTAATAAATAATAATTTAATTAAAAATAATAGTAAAGTTCTTCTTACTTATGTTTCCCTATATGTTTTAATAGAAAAATAGAAAGTTAATAATCTGAAAATATTAGTTCTATTTAAGTTATATTAAATACTAAATACGCTTTGCCTTAATATATTTAAGGTTCAAAAAATTATTAATCTTATATAATATATGTATTTGGATAGTTTAATTCCAGATTTAAAAACTAATATTAATAGATTAAAAAAGTTAATTTCTTTTTACCTAGCTACTAATATTAAGATAATCTCGGAGTATATCTTGTTTATGGCATTAATTAAAGGTAGGGGCGCCTTTATACGGGATCTTTTAAAGCGCGTAAGATTATTACCTAAGGAGCCTGCTAGAGAGATAATAAGGCTAGATAGTTAATAGTACTAGAGAGATAATAATACTAAAGCTATTCCAAAAGTTCTTATTTCTGTGTGAGTCCGTATGTCGTATTAGTAGCTGAGGAGATCAAGTAATTAAAATAGCTAATTAAGATTACTCTTTAAATATTTTGTAATTCTATCTTTAAAATAGAAGTCTCGTCCTATTTCAGCTATGGCCGTTATTAAACCATAACCCTAGTATTAAATATATAAGCTTCTAACTATCTGCGAATCTTTACTTTTAATTTCAGAATTATGCTTTTGTAGTTAGTTCTGCCCTAGAAAATAGTAAGAAGATTTAGTTATCTTTAGTCTATAACTATTTAATATTATAGTATTAGTACTTTTCTAAAAATGGCAAAAAGATTTAGTTATCTTTAGTCTATAACTATTAATATTAGCTATAATATCGTATTAGTGAGATTTCGCTCTTCTCTCCCGTAGTTAAATACTAACCGAAATTAAGGAGGTGGACTCGAAGGCAAAACTCTGTAGATTCAATATAATATATTAAGAAGAGGTAAAATATATACAGGTTATAGAAATATTCTTTATTGGATTATTAGAGGCCACTATAAAGGGAGCTCAAGAACTATTATATTAAATAGCTTATAATACCTTGGAAGGAATATTTAAAGTCTCTTTAAAGTATGAAAAAGGTATAATCTAAATAGTGCTTGACTAAAAGTATAATAGATAATTTTCGGAGAAGGAAAATCACCTTTATAGAAAAGGCAAATAAGCTAAAGAGCAAGTTTGGCTATAATATTTACGTTTTGGAACGGAGAAACGGAAAACTCTTTAATTACATATTTAAAAAATTAGTTAAAGATAGACTTTCCTGGCTACTTAGCTTAATAGAAGTTGTAAGTAGCGTTCTTTTAATCCAAGGCCTATAATCTAAAAAAAAGTTTAAGATCAGAGTTATTTTAGGCTAAAGAGATATATACCGGCTAGCTTCTTAAAACGAGGCACCAAATCTCTACTTTGTGAAGGCCGGAGGGGACGAGATAATCCAAAAGTGAGAATTGAGGACTTCCGGACTAGAGACATAACGGGTACTGGGGGATAGATTGGCTTTTTAGGTTTGAGGACTTGATGCTCATTAGAGAAGATAGAAAATTATTTGGTTTGCGCTATAGATACCTTAGGTAATTTATTTCTTATATTTTCTTTTAAATTAGATTCCGCATCTAATTTTTGACAAATTGCCTTCGCGTCATCGCCCTTACGCCTGATTTACAGAGTGTCTCCTATTATAGCGCAACCAGCTTCCTCTACTACAGCTATACTACCGAGCTTGCACCATCTTTTAAACTTATAAACCAGGTCTAAGCCAAATTCTTACGCCTTGTTTGCAAATCTCTGGTGATAAGTGATGACAAAACATCATCACGTGGACTTCTACTTGAGGCTTAGCCGCTCCAGATGCTGCTGACTGAAGTGAACCGTAAAACTTCACCAGCTTGATGGCAGATTCTAGCTCTTCAATTTTGTGATACAATTTGTGCTTTGCTTCAATCCACTGCTACACAGCAGCAATATCGACGTTGAATACACTTCACCAGCAGCGAAGTGAAGCTCTGAAAATCATAAATGGGCCGTTCGATTGCACGCTAAGTCCTTCACGAGAACGAAGTTTGCTCAGGCCACTAGTCTGCGTATGGAGGATTCTTGTGAGTTTACTGTCCAATCGAAGCCCCTTGTATTGATGAAAAGCGTGAAGAAGACCCATGTCCAAGTAACGACTGGCGAAGAGACATCACGGTTGCAACACACTTCCCACAATGACGAGCGAGCCACAAACAGCCAAGGCCTTGCTCCTTCCTGCTGATGGAACCAGCATCCGGATTGTGGACTATGATATTAAAGAGAAGGACGACGAAGATGTGGTGGATAGTGGAATGGCAGATTTCTACGATCCTATACCTGACCTCAAATCATGGTTTTCGGATGCCTATCAGGACAGGGCTATGACAGCTTTCCACGTCGACATGAGAACAAGGAAAAATTGTGACCCAATAGGACGAGCTTTTATCAAGTCCGAGGAGCCTGCCGCTTGTGGGCAATACTGCTTATATTACACCTTTTCTCCAGCCCTGCCTACGAACAAAAGCTGTGAGCGGATAGTTGGTTGTCTATCTCCAGGTCAATTATTCTGGAGAGGTAATGTCGTGGTTGTCCGATATGATTACCACTTAGGCCTTGGACACGTATATAAGGATGTTGAGGAAGTGGCGATAAAAGCAGTGGAAGAGGTTCTGAGGAAAGCATATAAGAGCCATGGGCTTGAACGAGTATACGAACAAAACGGGCAATTTCTAGTCTGAATTGACGACATTACAAGGTGACACTTTGGATTGCGTGCGATGACTCTTCTTCTAAATTTCTGGAAGGGACTTCTCTGATAGTGCGTTAGGTCTTGAAAATTTGTATCTACTTCCTCTTGCGATTCATTTTCCTTTCCGGTATGTCTATATTTCCCCTAGTCAGACCTTGAAAATCACTGTCCCACACCACAGAGAAGCGACGTAAAGAGGAGGATGGCGTCTGAGAAGAGTTGTTTTCATGAAGACCATCGGATCCGCACACTGGAATTACCGGCTAGAAAGTCGGTAGTACGGTACTATACCACAGGACGGCCGTGGACATGTATCTGATCAATGATCAGATAGCGCCCAGCTTCGGTTGATGAAGTTGTCGGCGCAGGGCTATACAATACTGGGCCATTCAGTATGATTTAGTCGGATGGAAGGATACGAACTTCATACGTAGGTGGGGAGTAGATTCGAGTGGTTTCTCACAATCTATAGATGGAAATTCGCAGTCAATATGTAGCAACTGCTTGGTGTGAATGAGACGTGATGTGAATAAAGTTTATGTTTTCGCAACCAAACTATGTGAAACTTCCCAGTTCATGGTGACGGCATTCGTGGACAACAAGCACGCATCCACCTTATCTCTGCCTTCTAAAGGCTCATTTTCAAAAATCCTCTCGAGATGTCGACATTGTGGCAATGCTTCTAGAACCAGAACATCACGCAGCCGCCAATTTCTTGGGTATTAGAAAACGTAGAAAAGAAATGAAGAGGAAGTTCATGTCCGTAGCTGGGTCAAATGAGGATTCGGGTAAGTTATCTACTAGTCAAACTAGTTACAATAATAGTTGCAACACTTAGAATAGAATCAAGATTCCACCAATGGCAATAACATATTAACTTGAAGATAGCATGAAACTACTAAACCCTAGGAGTTTTAATTGCTCCTCCACGAAGGCGACCGCTTTGCCATACATCTCAAGCCCACCTTCACAACGACCGCTCTCCATATGCTGAGTCAATCCACCCAGAGTCGAGAAATTCCTGGCTTTTGATGAGTCTAATGGTTTGACCTTTGGAATGAATGTCAAAGGGCATTGAAAGATTTTCGGAGCGTGAGCTGCTGAGTTTATATGCGCTTGGTACGCTCTCACGCTGCGAAATGGTTTTTGGTTGGGCCCGCAGAGATGACAGCGCCGTTCCTGAGATATGGTACCTCTATGTGAGCTGGCATCAAGATCCGTATCAAACGAAAACGCATTCGACGATAAGGGTATGAAATCTTGGCTCACGAACGACCATTCGCTCGCATTATCACTGTAAGTAGGAGTTAAGACAGCCCCGCCGATGATTAACCAGTCGCTGTCGCTAGCAGTAAGACTCGATGGTCCGCAGCCAACAGCGGACCACTCGCTGAGGCTGTTAACGTCAGAAACTAGAGGAAATGGTGTGGATTGGTCATTAGGTGGGCTTTCGAATTAATACTTGACCAAATCTGAGAGATGTGAATGTAATTATTAGCTTTAACCCAATGCTTTAAGATTAGAGGAGGTAGTACCTAGCAGATATATGTTCAGATGCCTCAGCCGATGTAATATAATGATTGGGATCGTGTGCGAAAACGAGTTGGTGCATTTTGGCTCGAGTCATTCCCGAGCTACAGCAGCCGCTCTCAAGATGGTTCAGGAGGGCAGATGGTATCGCGAACTTCTTGTTGCATGTTCCACCGGTTGGGCAAGGAATATTACGAGGAGGTCTATGGCTTGACATATGCTCTCTCAGCTGTTTCTTGTGATGGAATGACTCGTCGCACTCGTTGCACATGTGTGGGAGGTTGCGAGAAATTCCCGACACCGGATCTCCGACTCTGCGAATATGCTTCTCCCTGTGTTTTCGTAAAAACCTTTGTTTTTGAAGTACTTTATCGCAGTCGCAGCAATGGTAGCTCAAGGTTTCCTGGTTGGTGTACTCTCGACCGCAGTCGCAGCAGTGATGTGGAGTCGTATGTGTAATGCTTCGTACATGGGTGAGGTGCTTCTCAAGACTTGGGAAGTAAATATCACACTCGCGACAATAGCAATGGTCTGCAATTTGTTGATGGTTTTGCAGCCCTGCCAGACTAAGAAATCTTTTGTTACATTGCCTGCACTTTGGATGCTCCTTCTGATTATGCTTGTGGGCGGTCTTTTTCGTTGAAAACCGGAGGCTGCAACGGGGGCATCTAAATGAGTTCGCGGTCGCTGCAGCAGGCATGATCAACGGGTTGATAATCTTCCCTGAGCGTAAAATCATTCTGCTGGAGAAATGAAGGTGAGGGGACGTATAATCGATGGCCTTTTGATGTATTTAGAGACTTCCTTGAATGTTTGTGTTGATGAAAGCGATGAGGTTGTAAACGAAATGGAGGAGATATCAACCTGCACATCCCCAATGCATTACCCCGCACGTGGGTACCGACACGTGTGGCGATCTCGCATAAATCTGTACGCCACAACCGCTACAGGGCAGTTAACAATCTCTCGCAGAGTACGACGGCCTAAGAAACGCGGCAAAGAACCTTTTCAACGTTTTAGGGATAACGTGAGGGCTCGGTGGTGCTGTAGTAGAGGAAGTCTGTTACGCTATAACAGGAGACTATTTACAAATCAGGCGTGAGAGCGACGACGCGAACGTAATTTTTTTAATCGGAAGTATAGAACCTAACTTGAACGAACATAAAAGATATATTAAGGTATGCCCCAATTTTACAATACTTAAAGCCAAAGTACCTGTTTTTATTCCCGGTACGTAGGGGTTTCCGGCACGCAGGGATGTATGTTCGTACTCCCTCCAGTGGCATTGCATATCTGCTCGGAATCCCGCCAAAAAGCCCTCTCCATTTACCAACCTTTCTTTACGTTTAACGAGTTGAGGCCAATATATTTCCCCCCTGCACACGACATTCTCGATTTCGCTGAAGGAAACGCGTTGACAGAAGAGGAGTCCATCTATGGACTTCCTGAGATAAAGGAAATTCAATCAATAGGCTTGCACTATGATCCGCATTGCCATTATCTGACCGAGTCATCCGACCTCTGCCCTTTTCAAAATCCCACCGAATTAATCTTAGTTGTGAGATACTTTGATGAACCGGTGTTTGAATTTAGATGCTGTGGAAGAACGACATTCTTTGACTTGGATGCCGAATCGACTCTTGGGCCGGAGCTGCTACGGAGATGGGAAGCCCTGAAGCATACGGAGGTAAGCTTACGGAAGCTCTGCGGAAGCTCTGCCCAAAAGGACTGCACCTATCGTGAGAATTGTGAGGATTCGTCAAATTCCTCGAAGGCCATGCTATGCCAACCTTGAATATACTAGGTCAGAGCCTCCCAGTCAAATATGCGTAGTTCCTCTGTTTGCCGCAAATCTTTAGCTTTCCAGACAAGATAACTTTAATCTTTGTTATCAACTTTCTTAAATGGATTTTGCCTTAGTTCACGGATTACAGGCAATAGATTTTGGGTTAGATGTTTGAGAAATATGTAATAAATAAAAATAGCAGCCATCGTTTAAGTTTCATCGCAACTGAGCTCGGAGGGTCTCAGAAATTTCCTCTCTAACAGCAGTAATCTCTTACTTAAATTTTTGATTCTGTGATGTGTGGGCATTGACTAGAAGTTCCCAAGGATCGCCGAGCCTTTTTTGGTGGGCGGGATTGAATTGCTCCTCCTCCCTACGATTTCCAAGTTGGAGAGAGACGAGGGAAATGAGATGCCATTGTAGGCGGGGGACAGGCAGAGACCCTGAAAAGATGATGACCAGAATGAAAAATACCCACTTTTACTAGCGGGATCCGCTTTCACGAGCCCAGAAACATGGGTATGCCATAATGGGTGATGACATGTAGAGAATTGTGGTGAGGTGTCAATGTCCTCTCAAGGGGTTGAGTTATCGTCAGGTACGAGTCGATTCTCAGAAGGCGTCAGCCTCATCGTCAGCCTCATCTTCACCTCGCGATTTTGACCCCCACTCCAAGTGTGGTCACAATGTCACTGCTGACATAACATACTTTCTTTTCTTTTGTATAAGGATTTTCATTTAAGTGTCAGCACCACATACAGATCATCTTGGTGACCATTGGCCACTGCGATAGTACTGAATATGTTGACCGTATGTGCATTCGCACCGCACTTGCACCAGCTGGATGCTGTAGTAGAACGCATACGCACAAGTTCACAATGATCAAACGATCTATATACTGTGTAAAGTTTTAGATATGCCAATTGATTATTTCTACTGTATATCCTGCCATTTTCTGGGCGCCAGGCCCATGGCCAGGATCCGGTCCAGTCATTCCAGACCTTACGGCAAACCAAGCTTCGCAGGTACATCGTATAGTACAAGTTAAGCCTTCGACTTGGTCACCATGGTACTTTTCATGAAGCCTCTCTTCGTGAATACCAATGACTGGTGTAGAAGGTATTGTTCATCTCGAGGATCTCTCTTCAAACCCAGTTACCTTAACACTACCCTCTTTCAAAGGGTCCAATTTCTAAAACGTTATTGAGATGTCTCCAGTCCTTCAAACCGCCCGGTGGTGCAGTGAAGATGGTCACTCTGGAGCAAGAGGTGGTTTGGGATAGCTCTTGAGGATCCTGAGCGAGACTAGTAGAGGGAAAGGATATTAAGTTTTAAAATATCTTCACACAGAGTGTAGCTGATAGGGACACCTTGTCTCCAGTCGAACAGAGTTCCGTGGCGGCTAGATTAGAGACACTGCAGTCGAATGGTTGAGAACTACTTGTATTGCTCGAGGCTGAAATCGCGTTCAAAAATTGGCTCGTTAAAGCGAAGTGCTAGGCCTTTTAATGTTGCCGTTCCTGTCCGTGGACTCGCTAAACTCTGAACATGTTCAGAGCTTGGAAATTTGCGTAAAAATCAAGGTTCATTCTATGAGTAGAGCACATTATATAACCAATCGTTCGCAAAGTCTAAGGGTTCCCTCAATTTTGGTCTCCTTCCATAAATAACATTTTTCAACTGAAAGGTACCGTAACATCTAGTCCTTACTTTCATGAGAGGTACTCAAATGCCAGCCCTTCCTACCTGAGACTTTGCAAGACGATCTTCAGGGACAGGACGCGTGGCCTTTGCCCCATTGCGCAAACGTGCCCAGAACCTTTGGTCACGTGCTCTTCATGCCTGATAACTTCCAAGAACTCAAGGGAGAGTTCCAAGTAGAAATTTTCAATTGGCAGTTTTAATGGGTTTAATAAGGAAGTCGGGCGAAGTTTCTGATGCGTGGAAGGTGAAGTTTCCTGCCACCAGTTTCCCCATGGTTCTAAGAAATTCCATAAGAGTGGGGAATCTGAGTCATTGCCGCTAAGGTTCTGTCAACCATTATTAAATCCCCTTTTACTTCAAGCAACATTTGAGCAACTCTTCGACATGGCGACCGATGATCTAACTAATCTTCAACGCCTATTTGCTCGCGCGTTCAAGAAATTGCACGCGCAAATGGGGCGAGAAGAAATGGGAAAGTTCTGTTTAGCAATCTCCAAAAATGAGAAATTCCTAACTGGGAAGGGTAAATTGAAATTCCCCATGGACTTGGAATCGACAGAGATTGTTAAGGATTTAGTGCCTGAGCAACGCCCAAGAAAACGTAAAAGAGCGCTGGATAAAAGTGAACGCCTGGACATGACGGTTCAAAACTTGAAGAAGAATGCTGTGAGCAATGTCAAAAGCCTAATTGAAGGCCATTGGCGCGAGCTCAGCACTGAATCCTTAGACATCATCAGTTGTCAGCCAGAGTCTGATCAGCCGATTCGTATACTTCGCCTTAATCAACACCTCGCGCTACTTCAAGAAACGAGAGACGATCAAATTCGCTGGATGTGGAAAGGGATAAAGTTGATTCAACATCTGCGGTCATATGAGGCTTTCCTTGGTGAATCAGGCTATACTAAAGAGAAGGAACGTAATTCTCAAAGGGCTCGTGACCAATATTTGAGATACCTCTACAAAGGTTGGAAATTGGACGAGGCAAAGGAAAAGGAGGCGAGGACAGGTTTGACTGAGCATCTACGCTATGGAAGGAGGTGGAAGATCTTTCTAGATGCTTTGACGGCTGGATTCATTATCGTTTGCGGTCTAAACTTTGCAACGAAAGTAATGTAAGTGTTCTCATACGATGCTGGCGAGCCATGAAATTTCTGACATAATAAAAGCAGCAGAACTGATTACACGCTACTGGATCTGGAGACCCTTGCGAGCCAGATGACAAAGTCTAGGATTTATCAACTATGCGAAGCGTTCAGGTTACCGAGTGAGCAGTTACTTAATGCTGGTCGTGTAGATGGTGAGTACTCTAATAAGGATTTTATGCTGGCAGAAGTGCAGCGAGTATCTCGTGTAATATTGAAGGTACGGTTTGAGCCTACTTAGGTTGTGGCCAGTCAGCCACGCGAGGAGGCCCTGCATATATATATGCGAGGCGGGGATACTAGGTGGCTGGCTAGAAGTGGGGTGATAAAACTTGACTCCCAAAGCATAATCATAAATTTTCCTAGCGTTCAGCTATCTACATGGAGGCACAACCCATCTATCTACTCTTCCCACCCGTCTCAAACCCTACATCTACAATAAAGAATCTGTCTCGCGCCTTCATCCACCAAAGAGCTCATCCAAGTCTAATCCCTCAGCTCTACAGGATCTGCACTTAGCTTCACATTATGCTCCTGACGAAAGGTCTCAGCCAATGTTGACGCAGCCGAACCTAGAGTTGAATCTATCTAATTGGCTCGCTGTTTTTAACATCAGTACAGGTACTGTCGGCAGATTAAAGGAGAACTCACAGTTTGCTTGGAAGGGTCCTGCATAACATGGAAACCTTTGACTTTTTTCCCGCCACTCCAACCTTCACAAGAGAAGTGGGCGTTCGGGTCCGTCTCGCTTTCGTGGTTCATGTTGCTATCTGATATTAGTTATTGCACTGGATATTCATTTCAAAGGAGACTAGATGCGAAACTTACTTGATTTTGACTTCGTCAAATTTGGCATAATCTTCATCTTGAACAGCAATTCCATTTTCAAGTGCTGCCGCAACAGTCGTTGCTGCGTTATCCTTGGCCTTGTCGCCAATCGCGTCAACGAGGCGCTTGTAGCCAGGCCCCTCAGTCGAGAGTTTGATCGCTACAGATTTCCCGTTGCGGACAGCGTGCTTGAGTAAGACAGAAGACGACATGTCGGTGATTAGTGGGTAAAGTCTGAGAGACAAGTTTAGGAAAGTGTTGGTTGCAAAGATCTGGGATTCTGAATGAAGAATGTGAATTGTTGAGCTGATGAGTTGAATTCTGTCGAAGGATGAGGTTTATATAGACAAAGTCGTCGCCGCTCTGGACCCATTCTTTCTGTCGATAAATGTAGTAAGATGGCCGTTGAAGAGGCCGTGGGAGAGTACGTTGGAGGGTATGTTGGCGCGTATGAAGGACAACGTGTTGGAGAGTATGTTGAAGAGGTATTGGGATTCTAGGGTAATTATGAGACAGATAGCGCGCGCTAGCACGTTATGTCATCATAATCAAAGTCGCTGCGTGCCAGCTTTGACCTGTCCTCGCCGTGCTAACTGTCGGTCTCTGTCACAGGACTCCTCCTTGGGCGTTGAGTCTGCTGACTTCCCGCTGCTTCTTAGGTACTTGTCGTCGTCAGCCCATGCATCTTCGCCTCGTCCGGGGCGCTGGAGAGAGCGGGGAACAAGGGCAACCACGTATTCGACGTCAATGGAGCAGTGTTGCGGTACATGAGGTTGAAGGTCGCTCAGTCACTGCACTCTGGCTATCGTGCGCAAAGGTCTCGGACAAATCGGATATTGAAGGAGCCATGGTAAGGAAACAGGCACCGGTTTGCACAGCCGCTTGCAACAAATGGACTATCGAAAGACATGATTGTCGATGCTGAATTATACGGATGCTTGTCAGAGCTTGTGAGGCGGTCGGCCGAAGGTGGGGTCCTCTGGCATTTGCAGACGTTGGGCATGTAGATTTTGCTAGAAAGCTCCTTGCACCAAGGATTCAAACAAACCCGTGATTAGCAAAAAGGGTTAGAGTAACCGGGCGAGACGCCGGCCTGCGTCTGGTTGGAGCCTTGGTTGGACTGCATGGGAGACCGAGACCATCATCTCGTGCTTTTCAGTTCATTAAGCGCTTGACCGATTGGGCATAGTCTGGCACGTGACAAGCGAATTGAACCTGGGCCGTGGTGCAGGTACCTGGGCGAGAACACAAAATCCGTGATGGCGGAGCACGTCCACTTTCTCAACAACCCATTTCATTCCCGACATCACTCACACACCACATTTCCATCAGAGACAATGGCTCTGCATCTTGGGAGCACTCTTCGTGGGAGCAAATACTCATTTCGTCTGGTTGAAAAACTTGGCGATAAGACTGTCTTCAGTCCTGTGTTCAAGGCCGAGGTCTTGCCTGGCATTCAATCTCTTCTTCCCAAAAATCGATGGTACGTCTACAACTCAGTTGCGTACAGGAGTCTGTGCTAATTCTCGTACCAGGGCGGTTGTGAAAAGCGCTGATGTTGAAAATCAGACTCAGGTGGACTGCCTCGTAAAGGAATACAAGTATTACAAGAAGCCTTCTATCGAATCGTCTAGGGACTTTCGAAAGTTGTGTGACATTATCAACGACCCTATAGGTTGGACGGCTCAAAAGCCCTTTTGTCTAGCCTTTGAATGGATGGATACGACTCTGGCGGAGGTTCCTTTCGAGGAACACATGAAAGATCCTGTATTAGTCGCAAATATTGTCAAGGTATGCTTGGAAGCATTTGTCGAGCTAGAAAAAGAGCACCTTGTCTATTCAGGTATGCAATTCACCCCTAGAGAGTTCTATCGCCATTCACTAAGCAGAGCAGACTTAAAACCTGCGAATGTTCTTATATCTAGCGTTGACGGGCTGTCTAAAGTCAAAATCGGAGACTTGGGGCTAGGTACGGAGCACACATCGCAGAATTGGGTTACGCTAATTTTCTGTAGCGGGACCAGAGGGCGGCAATCCACGCTGGGTTCAGCCCGAAGCATTTCGTGCTCCTGAGGTCTGGACAGGGGTGAGCTGCTTCCATAAAGCCGATGTATGGTCTATTGCTGCTATGGTTAGTTGCCGGCCTCTCATTCTTACCCAAACTAAAGAAGGAAGATATTACAACGGTTTGATCCCAATATCCTAGGCAATGCCGACAACATCGACAAGACGCTTATTCACTCAATGGCATGGTGCCTAGCGAAGATTATACTCCTCTTCGATCCATCCTGTAGCTCGATTCCTCCTCCTTCTGACGCCGATAAGACCTTACAGGCCTATTTCAAGTTAGCCCAAAACCTTACGACAACACAAGCAGAAGAGGATTCGGACGAATTACTTTTGCAGATTCCTTCATTTGAGGTGTGGGCTGATCTAGCTATGGACGCCGGCATCCCGAAGGTAGTGCTAGACATTATACGCCTTTTGGCCGTTCCTAACCCGACGAACAGACCTTCGGCTCTGCAAGCTCTTCAATCACCCGAATATAAGGCCCTCCAGAAAGCTGCCGCCGCGTATGGAAACTAGGACGCTCTCTTAAGACCTGGTATCCGATGATTCCAAATCGGCACTTGAGTTCCGAGCTGATGCAAAGATGGGAAGACCTGGAGGACATATTTACAGAAGCTCTGCGTAGGCAATGCCCAAAAGGGACTACTCCTATCGTTCGGGTTGTGAGGATTGGACAAATTCCACAAACGCCTTGCTATACCAACCTTGAATATACTAGGTGAGAACATTTGTGGGAGGAGATACAGAAGTCAACTATAACGTTACGCCTAGTTTCTGTTTGCCGCAGATTTTGGGGGTTTTCCAGACAAGACAGAGGATTTTATGCTGGCAGAAGTGCAGCGAGTATTTCGTGTATAAAGGTACGCTTTGAGCTTTGAGTCAGCTAAGGCTGTGGCGGGGTAAGCCACGCGAGGAGGCCCTGTATATGAGATTCGCAAGACTCGGGATGGAAGGACGATTTCACTTTTGAACAGAATTTTGTATGCGAGGCGGGGATACCAGGTGGCTGGCTAGAAGTGGGGTGATACAAATTGACCCTCATAATCATAAATTTTTCCTAGCGTTCAGCTATCCACATGGAGGCACAGCCCATCTATTCTACCCACCATCTCAAAACCTGCATCGATAACAGAGAACACCTGCCTCATATCAGCCACTGCTAGTTCTTACACAAAAGTGAACTCACCGTATCTACGACACTTTGTGCTTGGGGCATTATTTAATACGTTTCAAGCCTGGGTGTGGGCGGCTAGCCTACCGGTATGTCGAAATCGCGGGGTATCAAGCTTCAAAATATCGAGGTCCGTGCACGTAGGCCTCACCAGAGTTGCGAGCATGATGGAGCCTCACCGAATGGCAACTCCCGCTAGCGGTGATTTCGTCCAGATGCTTCATTATGTCCTCGGACACCACCATGTCAGATTCAGACCTTGACAAGAAGATGGTGTATCTTGCTTATCGCGATATTTTCAAAGATAAACTCGCAAAGCTGAGGAAGCGGAATAAGGTACGCAATGTGGTGGAGAAGCACAAAGATCACCTCCACCATAAGCAACTCGCCGATTCAATGGATTTGGAGAAAACCTGCAGGATTTTGGGAGATCTTCTAGCAGCGCGTTTATTCGAATCAGATTCAGCAGCTGAAGCTACTTTCCCAACACTCTTCTCTCCCAGGGAGCTGGGATACGATACGGCCTTGATTGTGAAGTGCGTGGAGAACAGTGTCGAGGGCAGCTGTGGAAGGAGAGATAGAACAAACCCCGACGCCCCTCCTTTCCTGGAGATCCTCCGTTCTCCCGATACTCGTATGCCAAATGGCGCTTCCCCAGAGAGTGCTCCGACGGTTAGACAGCATCGCATTGACAGAAAGTCGGGGCGCATTAGAAAGCCTACTCGAGCCACGACAAAACCTACAGGGCCCATACTTCAAGTTGGAGAGGGAAAGGAGGCTGCGCCCAAGGAAGTCTTCCGCGAAGGTATAAATACAAGTCTCCCGAATATTCCTTTTGGAGTGTCAACGCTGACTACAGTCTATCTTTGCAGGCAGAGAGAAGGGCAAAAAGGGCCTGAAGCGTACACGTGACTCCGACATCATACCGACAAATCCCACATATCTCCCTTTCAGACTTCAGCATTTGATCCTTACCCAAACTCAACGACTGCTCGAAGAATGCTGCTATAACTTCGCTAAAAAGTGGTTTCCGTCCATGTTGGAAGCCAATGGCTGGGATGCACCCGAGGCGGTCGAACTGACTAGGTGGTGGAAGTCTCGAAATGTGATATCCCTGCAACGGCCATTGCTTTAAATCATGGCCTGTCACTGGCAGTCCTGTTTAAGCGTGCTATATCTATCCGGAACTGCGCTGTTCATCGTCGCCCACGGATTCCTGTCAAGAGAGTAGGAGAAATGGTTCGAGACGCCTGGTTGCTTTCTCAAGCACTGCAGGACGATTTGCGAGCTGCACAGCTCCTACACTGGCACAAGGAGTTGGAAACCCTCGTCGCGCACTTGCAATTAAGAATAAACTCCCAGAGGGAGGCGGTAGAAGCTGAGCTCCGAAATATACACAATGCCAAGGTTGAAATGGAGGAGAGGCTGGCTGAACTAGAGTCAAGAGCAAGCCAGTTGACTCAGTCTTTAGAAGCGGAGGGCAGAACCCACCGACCAATTGATACCGAGGCATTGCGGTCCCTAGAAGAGGCACTCCGTAGGCCAGCTGTCGCCAAACCTCTACCTATCACTGCGCAGGATCAAGTTAGGCAGTGGATAGAGAATAGCGTGGGCATGATAATTAATCGGAAGCACGCTGGAGCTACCAAAAGGCTGGCCATTAAAGTTAAACCTCCGGGCCCAGATTCTCGAGATCAGCCGTTGCTACATGCTCCAGTTTTGGCTACTAATGCGCTTTATGATTCTTACGAGAGCTCTTACGGATATATGGGCGTTCGGGATACCTTTCACAAACGTCAAAAATGTGCCAGAGAGGCGGATGAGACCGAGCAAGAGACATTTCAAGGATCAGCTCAGGACTCTCATGTCACCTCTATATCGATGACGCTTCGGCGTACTGCCGTTCAAGCACAAGAGAGCTTCAGGTTAACACCTTTCATGCGGACAGGGGCTACGAATGAAACCGCTAGGCATGTGCGACCTTCGGCAGGGCAACTTCACCCTTCGACACAGCATCCTCTATATCCAGTCTCTATAGATGATGACAAAAGCACGGACTATGGCTCCGTGCCTGCGGATTACGAGTGGGAATAGCGGTCGACATCTCTCTCCTTTACTTGTGTGAAGAGTTACGGAGCATTTTCTCCCTCTGAAAAGATAGAGTTGCTCTTGGGGCTGGCATTCCGCTTTCTGCCTGGAGCCCTTCCACCAAAGTATGCACTCGCACATACTCTCGGAGGTTTTGCAGCTCTGCAGGAAGCCACGACGTGATGGTTTTGTAACGATGGTGTTCAAGGATTGCTCGAAGACGTCAGACGGAGCCGGCTGCATTGCCGCTATTCTCATGCTGACTACCATAACCGGAACATTGCGTGCAGGTGAGGACGGTTTGAATAGTTATCAAAATTACATCTCCACCTGTCGGCAATTAACGCCTTGCAAGCCGTAGAACTTCATAGAGGAATAATGACATTTCATTAAGAGTCATTACCTAACAGGGAAGTATAGTCGACCTTAATACCCTGCTTTATTATGTCATCTCCCCGGGGCCGTTAGCTTGGGATATCAATGTGACTTCCATCTTAGTATTATCTCGAATTCCAAGGATGTAAACCTGATATCGGATGACTTCTGGTTAGCCGTTCCGGGGCCGCTACAGGGCCACCTCGATCTCTAAATCAATACTACTCTTTCTGGTTGTATTATAATATACACGCTATCTCTATTGTCTCGAGCTATCTAGGTACTATTTCAAGAATCCCCGAGATAGACGATTCCACTAGGAACAAAGAGGTCGAAAAAGGACTAATACGAATAACATTAACGGAGCCTTCAAACTCTGCCTCTACCGCAATAAGTCTTTGTGCGGGGCGGATCTCTTTCCTCCAAGTGAAAGTGCATGATCTTTAGGAGGAGAATCGGCTGCTGAGAGCTCGATCTTGATGCGGATTGCTACCAGACTCCGGTGGCTTTAAACAGGAGACGTTCGAGAGAAAGATTTCTCTCGAAATCCTGAAACTAATCTGGTAATATACTCTCCCAGCTTCCCGCATTATTCAGTTTACTGCCCGTGAAGACCATGGTGGCTCCTTCTTTAGCGGTAGTACTCCTCTAGTAGCATTACATATCTGCTCGGAATCCCGCCAAGAAGTCCTCTTTATATACTAGCTTTTTTTCGCGTTTAATTGCGAGATGGAATCTGTGTTAAGGCTAATATATTTTTGTCCTATATGCGATATTCTCTATATTACTAGAACAAACGCGTTAAGAGACGAGCAGTTTATATATAGATTTCTTGAGGTAAAAGAAATCCAGTTAGTAGCCCTAGACTATAATTCATATAGTTATTATTTTACTAGGATATTTGATCTTTACTCTTTTCAAAATCTCACTAAATTAGTATTAGTTGTGAGATACCCTAATAAACCAGTATTTGATTTTAGATGTTATGGAAGCATGATATTCTTTAACTTGGATTCCAAATAGGCTCTTGAACTCGAGCTAATAGAAAAATGGGAAACCCTAGAAGAAGTATTTATAGAAGCTCTGCGTAGGCAATGCCCAAAAGAGACTACTTATACTATTCGGATTGTGATGATTAGGTAGATTCCCCAAACGCCTTATTATACTAACCTTAAATATATTAAGTCAGAACCTCCTAGTTAAGCTTTTATAGTATATAGCCACTAATAATATTAAAACAGGAAGAGATATAGAAGTTAACTATAATATCACGAGTAGGTTCTATATATGCTATAGATTTTGGGGTTTTCTAGACAAGACAAATTTAATTCTTATTATTAGCTTCTTAAATGAATTTTGGGTTAGATATTTTGAGATATATATATATTATGGATATATATTATGGAATAAAAACAGGCAGCAATAGTATAAACTCAGTATTATCTTAGAAATAATATAAAATTTCGTCTACTTGCCATATTTGCGACATTATTATGATTTTTAGTAGTATTCTAAATAGGGCTCGTTAGTCCGATTTAAATTTCTGCACGTAACAATAATACTTCGCTTTAGTGCTAGACGTTGCCTCACCGCACATAGCTTCCGCTTTAATATTGCCAATTTCGTTTTCTAATAACAACTATCTACCACACATTACTTTAGCTATACTAGTACTTGCCATGACATCTTTATTAATTAAGTACCATATTTACTAATTTTGAGATAATAGTCTAATCCTTAACGGATTAGTGGTCCCATAACGAAGTCCATAATATTATAAAGTGAAGAAGCTGTGGCATGGAATAGGAAGAAGTGCCAACTTAAAGGTTCGCAAAAATGCAAGCGAGGATAAGAAAGAAAAAGCCTATAATATAAGCTTATAGTATGTCTGGATAGTAGTTGTATCTCTGTCGCTAATCTGATCTTAAAGCAGGCAAAGAATCGAGAGTTAAGTTAAAAGCAATATCTCGTTAACTATTGCCATATAACTCAAGTCTTTCAGGAGTGCCTGGTAATAGCATGTATTTATATATACCATACCTCTAGCGGCGTACCTTTTCGTATAATCTGCGCTAGAGGAACGCCGAAGCCTTAGTCAAAGGTTCAACTCCGCTCTTATAAGGTACTCTAGCTATCTTCCAAGGACAGGCAAATTATGCACCATATATAATGCATTAATGCCAATACAGCTTACTTGACTAGCTATAGGTAATACCTCTGTACGAATGAAATAGGAGGCCAGGAAGTATAATCATTCAGTAACAAGGAAGCCTGTATGACCTGTCTAATAACGTTAATTGACTCATGGAATTAAAACAGTATTCCAAAAGCTCGCAAGACTTCGGTAATTGCAGAACAATAATACCTAAGCCTCAGTGAGTGCGGTTCAGAGAAACGGACCTCGTCCGAATTTGAGGACGCCACATCTTCCTGGATGCTGTCAGTCGCTGCCCGCAATGGCCTACTCGAAGTATTACCTAGTCCATGCATCAGCCATGGTCCATTATCAACTCCGAGGACGTTTGATGCAATGAGCGCTGCATGCTGTTACCGGCAAGGGGATTCCTGATTGAGAAATCGATGGTGAGGCCTCCGTCTGACCATTGTCCAACGAGTTGACATGGCCGAGCTAAAGGCATCTCATGAAAAGGCTTATGCAACTGTATTAGCGAGATGGATCCTGGATGGTTTGCAGCTGCGCCATCCGACTCTCTATTCAAATATAAAAAGGCAGCAGCTCCTTTCTCTAAACTACTTCTCTCCCAGCTTCCTTTTAATTTTTTCAAATATCCTTCCACTTCATATTATCGCGAAAATGGCATTTGCAGAATCCGACTTAATAAGATGCTATAATAATAAATGCATACTTCATATTAATATTAGTCTGAAAAGGACTTAGAAGATGTGTAACAATTTGATTGCAGGCCCCAAGTTAGTGAAGAGGCGGGCATCCCCGCTAGAGGGTTTTCGAGGTAGGAGGTCTAAATGCAGACAGTATTATGAAGCCTTGCTAATTGTGAAACAGACCGGCTAATTGTTATTGACGATGATGAGGATTCGCCAAAACGGACAACTTCTATTCAAGGACTAATTAACGAGAAGCACCGAATTAAAAAAAAAGCCCAAAAAATGAGAGGATTACTTTAAACCGCCCGTAAACCCGTAAATGATTTCAGCCGATTGAGGGAGTTTATATAATTAAGTAAAAAGATTATTATTATTAGCGGGGCCGGTATCTCTATTAGTGCAGGCTATAAGTTCAAGCTCATTTGCAAACCTTTTTATTAATATTGATTTGCCCTAGTTTTTATCTTTGAGAACATATGGAAATCCAAACAGACCTCGTTCGACCGCTCTCTCTACTTCTCTATTGAAAAGATAACCAGCTTTTACTTTATAATTCGTAGTATATATAAATGCCTATATTTGGATTTGACTAAGCTTTTATCTTTCCATAAGGTTATAAACAAGCTTATACGGACTCGTCCTTATTTTCGGTATTATATATAAAATATTAATTGCATTAAGCGCCTATTACCTGATTTTAATACTAAGACAATATGCCTTTATAATCGAGTTAATTAAACCCGATATGGGATATATAACTGAGTATATAACTATAAGCCATATTTGTTTTAAGGTTCTGATTTATTATATTATCAAAAGTGTTTACAAAAAAGCTAGACCCAGATATTACAGGGCAAGTAATTATTAAAAATTGGCAGGCTAAGATTTAATGTACTTTTGTCTAGCGAGCTTTATTTAAACGAAAAGGAGATTCTAAAAACTGCTAAGTATAATTTGAGAATATACCCGGAGTTAGTGCTAATTATTAATATAGAGCTAGCAATTTCTAGGGTTTGGTTAATCGCCGTAAACTTTTGCCACACCGCTTGAAGTATAGGTAGAACAAGTTTTTGGATTAATAAGGAGGAGCTAGTATTAAGTATAAAGTCCCTATATAACTATATTCTTATAGGAAATTATAATAAGGTTATTTCTCTAGATATTTGAAACTATTTAATTAATATATGTTTATATTACTATAAGCCATTTTTAACTTTATTATTATATATATTCGCTATTTTTAAGGAACTTAAACGTAATTAAAATTAAATATTATATATAAAAGCCATTATTATAATTTAAATATTTGGATGGAAATTATAGGTATGTAATATAACCTTTTCTCTCTTAGTATTCTTTACCTTAAATATATTTATATAAGCTAACCGGATTATATTAGTTATTTTATAATTAATACAAACTATGCTTAGTTAATATATTTCTTGTTTAATTACAAAACTATTTACTAAAGATCAAAATATATATAAAGCACTGGCTTTAAACTTTTATATTAATTAGTTTTTAAATAAATATACTAGTGGCATTTAAAGCTTCAAATTTCCAGTATTAATAACCTTTTATTAATTTACTGGATTTCTTAGGCCAGTTAAGCCCATGGTATTAAATAAACATGGTATATTAAAAGATTTAATTCGTAAAGGTTAGCTATATATACTATGGCATTAGTTAATTAAGCTTATAAATCGACTTCTTATATTTTTCTAATTAGGCGTCTTTTTATTATATTAATTTATATCTTGATTAAGCAGCTTATATATTATTTTAATAGCTGCGTTTTATGGCTTAATCTTATTGACCTCTTATAAGAGACTTATTATTTAGGTTTTAATAAGCCCTTAATCTCGGGTATTAAAAAATTACTTAATATATTTTAAATAAGCCATAATGCCAATCTCTAATACGAAGAGAATAATATTACCGTAATCCTCGGCTAAGGGTAACTCTTTATATAAGCCTTTAAAAAAAACTCTTATTACTATGGGTTGTACTTAAAAAAGCCGAGTAAATCCCTTTTGCTATTAAATGAGGGTAATAATATTCCTGGCCTTATTATCCTTATTCTAATCCTATAATACTATAAAAAAGAAATATAATTTATTAATAAAAAGTATTAATATAAAAAGAACTTATAAAAAGACGTATTGGCCTGTACTAACTTAATAAGGTTTAGCCAGGGTAATTTCAGCCTTTAATAATTCTTTTTTTTTAAAGATCCTGACTTTGGCTTTATTCTATAGAGAGATTCCTATTTAAACTATAATAAATATAGTATATAGCAAGCCTGTAATAATAAGGAGAATGATTAATAGTTGTGAAAAATTAAAGGAGACAAGATATAAAAAGATTATAATAATTATAATAATAGTTAAGGCTATATAGGTACTTAGAAATAATTTATATATATGGCACTAAATAAATGGCAATAAAAATACGCCCAAGACAGCTATATTTATAGTGGCTTAGAATATGTTTTTAATATAGGAACTTTTAACTAGATTTGATTATAACTTATAATAAGACTTGTAATGCTTGATATAAATATAAAAGAATACGTATTAAAGCGAATCGGACTTAAAGCAATTACCAAGTAAATAATATATTTTATTATAGTAATAATACTAAGCCATTTATAAATAAAACTCTTAAACTACTAAGATATATAAACGTGTTTAGAAAATATATTAGGTTTGCTATATATTAAGAGCAAAATCAGATTAATTAAAAAAGCTTTACTAAATTGTTTTATTAGTATTATTTGGCTCTTAGAAATAGTAAGGACTATAATATTAATTACTAATATAAAAAAAAGACTAAATAGATAAAGCGGTATAATAATGCCTATATTTTTAAGATATTAATAAAGTAAATAATTAGAGGTATATTTGCAAGTAAAGAACTTAAAGTAACAGGAGTTAATATAAGGAAGGGAATTGTTTTATAGATAATATTATAAAAAAGCTAAAATTATAATCCCAAGAAATATATCTCTAAGGATAATTATAATAGCAGTTATAATATCTATTGTGTCTTAGCCAAGACAGGTAGTCTATTAATGTTTAAAGATATATTTATAAAGATATATATATAAAGCCTTATAGAAATTTATTCTTAGAAACAACGTATATATATATAGATATATCAAAGATTTCCCAAGTTTATCTTAGGCAATTTTCCTTAATATAGAGCTAATATAATAGTAAGTAATATTACTCTATATATACGGTCTATAAATCTCCAAATCCTTATTAAAAATAGTATAATCTTACAAGTTAAAATAATATTTTATAAAGTAACGTTATAACATTTCACTTTTATATTATATATATATACTCTATATTAGCTTAACTATAAGTTATTACGCAAAACAATTATTAAATACCGACTATAAACTCGGAAAATTTTCTAGGCAAGATTTTACTAGCAAATTTAGTATAAGAAGCTTTATAATTGGATTTAAATAGTACCGTAATATAATGCGTAGAAGTGGATCAATTTGCTACTATATTATAACCCTGGTAAAAGGGTAAGAATAACGAGTTTGCTAGAACTCGTCTTATAATCCACTATAAGGAAGGCATACTATAGAGGAACCAAACCTATAATCGTAACACGCAAGCAATAAAGCAGCTTGAAAATTTGGTAGTATAATATTTACGGGATATTTAGTAATAATGTATTATAAAAAACATTATAAATATTCGGGAAAAATAAAACTCGGTATTAATTTGCGATTTAATATTATTAGTATACTTTCGATTAAGAAACTTTTGACTTATTAAAAGTATATACTATATACGCACTAAAGCCTTAATTATAATCATAAATATGTTTTATAATTAAAATCAAATTAAATAATAGTAATTGTTATTAAAAAAGTTTGTTGCAAATACGTATTAAGCTTTTAATAGTAATCGGAAAAAAACTCGAGACTTTATATTACAAATTATGCTTTTTGAAAAAAATTAATTAAATTAAATTGCAATCGCAAAAGAATTTAATTAAATAGTAAAATTACTATAAAGTTAATCGCGAAATACCTAAAGTTTCAAAACCGCATTATTAGCTCGTAATATCTATTACGTGAATTTATTTCCTAAATAAGTTACTATCGGTTACACTTGATAATAAATTGTATATTACTACGAAAACGGTTTAAAATCAAAATGGAAAACGCATATATTAAGCAAAGAATTATAATAGACTTTATAAAAAAAAAAGATATTCTACTTTAAAAATAGTAATCTATTTTTTTACCCTGCAATTTCAGTCCCCAAACCATAAAACTTACATTAATAAGTAGGATTTAACCAATATTGTTTCTTAGTAACTAAGTCAAATGGCTGCTTTAAACATAGAGTTAATTGAGTCATATATTTAATTATTCCATCGATTGTAACAAGCCACTTTTAGTATTATATGCTAAATGCATTTAATCTACTAAATTAGTTATTTTGCGCGCAATAGCATAATATGTTTAATATAATACATAATTAAATTTTAAAGACTATTCCTTTAAATTTTCGAAGAAGCTCTATTTATAAAAAAAATCTGTTTTTCCAAATCTCAAAAATGCGTTTAATGCGGCCCTTTTACAAATATTAAATTTCGGCGCTAAAAGTAGTAAGCGACTGCGGTCGATAGGATATAATTATAATCGCGCTATAAAGCAAACTAAGAAAGATAAAGTCCAGAAGAATATTGCGGCTTGATTCTTAGGAGAATAAGGTAAAGAGCTATGTACAAATAGTAGAAGGGACGAAGTCTATATATATGTCAAGGGGTAAGGCTAGTCCGATTAGGCGAGAGCCTGATCTGGGTAAGCGCAGACTAGAACTGTAATAATAATCGCACGTTTGCTTTTGGGTTCTATAATATGCAAAGAAGCAAACAAAAAGAAGCAATTTATTTCTTATTATATTTTCGCATTATTTTTAATTATATTAATTAAATGCTAGTAAATTATAATTAAAGAATAAAGTTTAAAAGAATCGCGTTTTATTTAAAAAAACTCTAATATAATAAATTAAGCGAGTATAAAAACTAAAGAATAAAAATCTTAATTATTTTATTATTTTTATACTTTATTATAAAAAAATTATATTTATATAATTCTAAGGCTTAGTATAAATATTAATATATATATAAATATTTTTAAATTTCTTTAGTATAGCTTTATAATTAGATTATCCGAAAAACCCTAATTCGGAAGGCGGTAATTTGTCGGCAATACTAAGCTTTTCGCCAAATCGGGAAACGTTATATTATAACACCACTTTTGATCAATTATATCTTTTACCATAACGCTTTAATAGCAATATAGATACCTAGAGTGTAATTCCCAAGTAAATGCGAAATTAATTTAACCTCAAATTCTCAAATCCTATCCTGACCCTTACCCTATATTTCTCTTTTATTAAGAAACTCTATTATCCGATTTAGATCTGCCAAGTTAGTAGTAGTATATCTCCTCTATCTCCAAATCGAGGAACTTGGAAATAGATACTATTGCGGGGTTTTTGTGCTAGGACACGGACCATCCTTGTTGCTATTTTACCCTATTGCATATTACCCCGCTTTCTTCGATTTAGGCATAGAGAAGACAGTCACGATACGACGCTTCTAAGATGCGAGGAAGACTAGGCAAACATCTTAATTCTAAATTCTAAAACCCCTATGGAATTAACAATATGCGCCGAACTTGTACCTTTATAATATCTTCCCCTGTACAAAATCTGCCAGGCCCAGCAATGTCTTCTGCGGGCTCGTGATGTCTAAAAATGGCAAATCGACCCGGAAAACAGCCCAAAACCAAGAACGGAATTCAGACGCAATCATACTATCGATACCGAAATCCGGCATCGGCTTCTCCTCGTCGACCTGGTCTAACGGCATCAAAATCAAATTCGAAAAGCGCTTCTTAATCAAATTCAGAATGGCCTCGTGCATTGTGTTGGCGCTGGCTTCCGGTGCGAATGTTGCCGTCAGCGTGTTGGGCACATCTTTGAACCAAGGCGCAGCTGCTTTAGCCATTGTTGCATCGTGGGCACCTTGCAGCTGGGATGAAGCTGCGGCTGCAGCTTCTTGTTCCGCTTGAAGGGAGGCCAGAAGGAGACTGGAACGTGCTTCAATGAGGACTCCATGGGTCATGACATCGAAACCGCGGGCGCTCAGCTCACGGACAGCTGCTGGCTCTAGACCCGTGAGCATATGTGCTTCGGCAACACTACCGGATGCCTCGCTCGCCAGGGCCAGATCGATGACTTGCAGCATCTCATCCTCGTTCAGGGGCTGGATACCTTTGCGGAGTAGGAGCGCCTCGATTTCGGGGTTCTCGTGGAGGTAGCCGACTTCTGAAATCATGCCCAGACCCACTGATACGCAGGGCTTGCCGAGAGAGCGGCGCCATTTTGCGAAGGCATCGAGGAAACCGTTGGCTGAACAGTAATTGCTCTCTGTGGCTGTGCCCACTGTGCCAGAAACAGATGAAGTGAGGAGGAAAAAGTCGAGGTCGTGCCCTTCGAGTGCATTGTGAAGGTTCCAAGTTCCTTGATACTTGGGATCGATACCTGTGTGCCTGCGATGTCTTTATTAGTACGAAATCCAGAATTGAATTAGGGAAAAAGGAAAACAACGCACCAAGCATCGTTGGACATCTTTGTGAAAAGAGCCTCATGGAGTCCCATAGCAGCTTGGATCACACCTCCAATTTGTCGTCCGTTAGCCGCACAAACTTCGACTGCTTTTTTGATATCAGCAGCACTCGAAACATCACCCCGAACCACATCAATATTGGCCCCATTCTGCTCCAATCGAGACACTAGCTGTTGAGCACTTGGCCTATCTGCCCCGGAACGTCCTACGAAGACAAAGTTTCGGGCACCGCGAGTCATCATCCATCGGCTCAAACTGCGGCCGAGGCCACCCAGACATCCGATCAAGAGGTACACCTTCTTTGGATCAAACAAGGTCAGATAGTTGGCTGGAGAAACAGGAACCCGCGCCTGGGGATTCTCCATAGAAATGACGACCTTGCCAACACGGTCCTTGTGAGCAAAGAAGCGATATGCTTGTGCCACGCGGGTAACATCAAACACTTCCATGGGAGGAGGCTTGATCTTGCCGGCGCGATAAAGCTCTAGCGTCTCGGCCACTAGGCGATCCCAAGTGGCGTTTGAGAAGGGGCTCTTGGAATGGAAGAGATCAGAGAGATCAAAGGCCGTAAACGTAGCATTCCGAAGGAAAGTGCGCATATCAAGGCGACCGGCATCCAACAGCTCGCGTTTCCCTATCTCCACAAAGCGACCGAAATCGGCAAGACATTTCTGCCAGCCATCGTGCATCAGGTCACCCACCAGCGAGTTGATAATGACATCGACACCATGACTATCCGTGGCAGCCAGTATGGCGGGAACAAAGGACGCATCACGAGAGCTGAAGATGTGATCAGGATCAACTCCAAGCTCATTGATCAGATAGTCGCGCTTGGCTGGCGAGCTGCACGTTGTGTAGACCTTAGCACCAATTTGCTGTGCAAGTGCAATAGCCGCAATCCCAACGCCACCTGAGCCAGCATGGATCAGAACAGACTCGCCGGCGCGAAGATGGGTGCGGCCATTCAGGGCGTAGAGCGCTGTCGCATAGGCCAGGAGCAAAGTTGGCACGACGGTGTATTCTTCATGCTCCAGCAATCGATGGACGCAGCTTGCGGGAACACGAGCTGTAGTGCCAATATGAAAAGGGGCACAGGCGACCACACGATCCCCGATTTGGAATGGCTGCTCGCTTGTGGTGGATCCCACTGCTGTCACTATCCCCGAAAAGTCAAAGCCCGTTGTCACCTCTCGCGTCTCGACGCGCCCGCTCATCGCGTACACATCCTTTGCGTTCAGACTCACGGCCTTAACCTCAATCTCAACATAGCCTGCCGCAGGTGGTTGCGTTTGCTCGAGCTCGCACAGTTGCTGGAAATAAATGGTATCAGTCGCCCCAGGCCGCCCAATTGACAGCCGGGCTGAGCCAATCGACCCCAGTGTTTGCTTCTCTGTCTCGGATTGTGCTTCCAGTCGCTGGCGAAATAGCGAGTTGACTCCAAAGTCAGGATAGTATCTGCTCACATTGAGAAGTCCATCCACCGATATGAACTCGCAGTCGTCTCGCTCATATCGGGCAACAACTGCTCTCACAACGTTGCTGCAGGTATGGTTGGCATGGACTTGATCTGCCAATTGCTTCATTGACGACCCAATATCAAGCACGGACCATCGGAGGGTGGGCTGCTCGAGCATCAAAGCGCGCGAAAGGCCACTGGATAGTGTGAGGTTAGGATCAGGAATCTTGCCCAGCATGTTGGCTCCTGTTAACCAGAGCAGGTCGGTGACGGTATTGGTGACCGCACGGAGACTGTCCATAGCTTCTGGCGACAGAGTGGCTAGCGATTCATGTTCTGTCTCGATCAAAGAGATACAGAGATCGCTTTGATCGATATGAACGTCGTTCAGTTGGTGCAAGCCAAGCACACGAGCTTGTGCGACTCCAGCGTTCTTTTCTAAGAATGCGGCCAAAATATCCGAGAACTTGCCAATGGTACTGGAGCAATTCTCTGCTTGCTATATGGTCGCGAGTCATTAGTCTGCACTTCTGATGAAAACTGTGGGGGAACAAGAAGGCTAAAGAACGAAAGAGGTTGGCTTACCAGAATGAAAGCATTTCTGCCTTGGAGGCTGGAGGTTTGTGCTGGTCGGACAGCTAGGAGGACTTGGGTTCCCACATCCAGTACGTCAAATCCAGCCTTTTGCAAGGTATTCGTAACTTTAGCTGACTTTCGGCAGATCACAATCCCTTGTTCGCCAACCAACGCGGCAATCCGGTCGGCAATCTGCTCGCAACCATCTTCGGACGTCAATGTGGCATGCTATTACAACACAATAGTTAGAACTCAAGCATCTCCAATCATCTACCGTTACTCTTTCAGACCACGAGAAATGGGAGAGCAGCACTTACTTTTGGCACCACAAGAACCTCGAAAGGCCCTTCAACATCGTCTTTGATTGTGATCTCTCCGTTCTCTGTCAATGTACCTGCATGCCACGATCGGCAAAGCGAGAATGCTGTCTCCTTACCCAGCATATCCAGCCATTGTTTAGCTTTGTATCCCTGGGCATCGCCACCCAGTTCCAAAATGCGCATGCGTGGATTCTTATGGCCAGCCAGTTCTAAGAGAGCACCGATGACTGCGAGACTTTCATCGTCCCTTACATCTGGGTCTTGCTGTTCTAGGAAAGTGGTAATGTACGCTCGGAGTTCCTCAACTGCGTCTGGGCCGAGCCTCAGGACGTCTGGTTTCCACTGATCGATCACCAAAGGTTAGCTATGTACTAGCATGCGCAACTGAAGAAGACCTCAGGATCAATCTTACCTGTACTCTGAGGGTTGGTTGGCGCTGCATGTATTTGCTTAATGGATCGCTAAAGCCATTAGCAGTACCGTTACCCTCGGCAGCGTCTGCATGGATGAGGGCGTTCTTTCCAGTGTAAAGAGCGATTCGTGAGTCTCTGAACTCCACCACAGGTGTCCCATTCGTGTTCCAGATTGTCTAGATTATCAATGTCAGTGAAGTCTTTTGTCATTCTATTGTTTGATCCTGCTGATTCGGCGAGTGTTTTTCTGAACACACAAGTTGGAATTCTTCTGGATGAGAGTACATGTGCTTACACCATCGATACGTCTGCTGGAGAAGCCCATTTCTTCAGACTTCACATGTATCTCTCCTTCGACCTCGTTATCTGTTGCGCCTGTTGGCGGCTGGATGAAACACTCAGCAATGAAGACAGGAAGCCATGCCTTGAGCGTAGCTACACGACCAGCTGTGCCGCTCAAGCACGCAGCTTGAAGTCCTGCATCGATGGTAATCGGATGCACGGAGTAGAATTCAAATGGTCCACCAACAACCTTTGGTTCTATTTTCGCCGTGGCTATGGCTTCGTGTCGCGTCTGTACGCTGTCCGTCCGGAGGCTGGTCAGTGATTTGAATTGGGGTCCAAAACATAGCCCTTCTTGATCCCACTTGGTGTACCAACGATTCGTCGAAGACCACAAGTCGAATCCCTCGGCATTGTTCACCTTCATGCCAACATCGCCTTCTCTCTTGCCTCGCGTGACTCGGATGCTGCCTGTGCAGTGGAGAGTGGCTTGGCTTGACGTCCAGAAGAGAGATGAGATCGAGAAATCATGCCAGTCGGCTGAGGTATTAGCCCCTGAGATCTTGCGCAAAAACATGGTTGTGTGCAGCTCCAAGTCCTTGCCAGCACTATCCTCCTCGTCTGGTATATTCAGCGCGGCAATGACGGTGACATTACGAAGTTCGAATCCGAGATCGTGTTGTCTCTTCTCTAGTTGTTCTTTGATACCTGTAACCTGAGAGACGGCCTCAACAGCGACTGCGATAAAGCCCGCAGCAGGAAAGACAACTTGCCCCTCTAGCTTGTGGTCCTTGATCCATGGCATCTCGCTGGGTTTCAGAATGTTACGCCAGGTGAAGTCGATGCCATTGCCAGTGAGAGCAGCTGTCCCAAGGAGCTCATGGCGCATGTGCTTTCTGGCGCGCAGCTCGACGCTCGCACGAGGCTCGCTCCAATTCAAGCCACTGGAGTAGTCCCATGGGTATTTCGCCATCTCATAGACTATCCTGGGCTTTGTTTTGTGCTTTGACGAGATGCCGAGTGTGTTAACGTGGTCCCATGCCAAGGGATAGCCCTTTGTGAAGAGTGTACCGGCGAGAGTCTTGATACAGAAATTTGAATCTTCATTCCTGACTAGCGTCGAGGAGTAAGGAACGTTCTTCTGATCCAGACCAGCAGCCTTCCGGATCTGCTGAATGGGTCCCTTGAGAGCCATATGCGATCCAACTTCAATCAAGTGGAGTTTCTTTCTGTCTGTTACGAGCGATGTCAATGCCGCGCTGAACTGGACGGGCTGCTCAAGATTCTGGCGCCAGTAGGCTGCTCCAACACTCTTCGAATCCATAACTCGTAAAACATCAGGGCTGTAGCCGACTGAGGAGTACATCTCGACGTCCTCTGTCTCCTTGGCGACGGGGTCTGAACCATTGACAACTGAGCCATTCACATGACCCCCCGCCTTTGGCGCGCGGTGGAATACAGCCGTCAGAAGGTCTTCATACAATTGGCCGACCTCTTCCATCATATGCGAGTGGTAGGCACGGCCGCCTGTCTGCAGCTTCCTTGCAAACTTATTCTGGCTCTGTAGGTCGTCGAGTAGACTCTCAATAGCATCCGAAGAGCCGCTCAAGGTGACACTTTCCGGAGAATTGATACATGCTACACGAGCCTGTGTCTCAAGACCCTTACTTTCAATGAGTGCCTGAGCAGTCTCGAAACCCAAGCCAGCCGCCATCATGGCACCTTTCGTGCGCAGCTGGCCAACTGCGTAACCACGGAAGTAGGCAACGAGGATAGCTTGTGACGCACTGAGGAAGCCAGCAGCATACGCTGCGGCGATCTCTCCTGACGAATGCCCTACCACGGCATTGGGCTTGATTTCCCAGCTCTTCAACAGATTGACTAGTCCGATCTGCACAGCGGTGCAAATTGGCTGGCTGTGGGTGACCTCGTTGATGCGACTGATTTCTTTGTCATCGAGAAGCGTTTGCTCGAGAGTCCAGGATGGGGTGTATGGTGCAGGAAGTGCCTGCAAGACATCATCTAATTCGTGGAGAGTCTCGCGGAAGACCTGGCTATGGTGCAATAGTTCCTCGCCCATGCCAGCATACTGTGCTCCCTGCCCGGTGAACACGAAACCGAATGGCAGAGGATCGGTTGTTGAGCCAATGGTTGCGTCAGCTGGGGGTGTCTTAACTCCATCAACCGAAGCGAGAAGAAAACTGCGATGTCGAAGATGATCCCGGCCTTTGCTTAGGGTGTGGGCTACGCTTTGCAGCATTTGTACAGATTGACTTTCAGATGTTGTGCTGGAAATCTGTTGGATGAGCCTCTGTAGCGATTTTGGCGATGCTGCTGATATCGGGAGCACCAAGAGTTGGTCAATTGCTTCTGTGCATGGATCTCCGTTCAAATGTCCGTTTGTCTTGCCGCCGTTTGGCTGGACTCCATTTGTATGAATTTCATTTCCATTCGTGTGAGCTCCGTTTCCATTTGTATGAACTCCGTTTCCATTTGCATGGGTTCCATTTCCATTGGCATAAGCTCCATTCGTAGAGTTATCATTCTTGGGAAGACCAATAGTATTGGCGGGTGGATTCTTTTGGCTGAGATAACTGTCGATCGATTCGAGAATGACATGTGCATTCGCACCACCATAGCCGAACGAGTTGATGCTCCCTCGACGTAGCAGACGTGGCCATTCCTCTACCTTTGTAGCAACTTTGACATTTCGTTCTGCCAAAATGACTGATGAAATATTAGCTTATGTTTGATCATAGGAGAGGGGTTGTAGCTTACGTTTTGGGTTTAGTGTCTTTACTCCGTAGGTAGGCGGTATTTGGCCATTCTCAAAGGCTTTTGTAACTTTGAAGATGGAGGTCAGACCGCTGGCTGCTTCGCTATGGCCAACATTCGTTTTCACCTGCCCTCAATTAGTTGATGATCGTGAAAGAGCCCCAACGGCAACAAAGGGGGCTGTTTTACCGAGCCAATCAGAAGTGGAGCGCCCTCTCGTGGAGAGAAAACTCTTCCCACAGCATCTACTTCTATGGGGTCTCCAACTGGAGTGCCGGTGCCTGCGAAAATCTCTATGTCAGCAATCTTTCAACAGGGCGATGAGATCTTCATTTACCGTGGCACTCGACGTAATCGGTCCCCGAAACATCTAGACCCGCATCCTTGTATGCATTGCGCATAACAACTTCCTGCATCTTACCGCTCGGTAGCGAGATTCCTGGCGTGCGCCCACTCCTGTTGTGGCATTGTTGTCAGCCATCAGTACGTGATTCTCTGCATGAGCTTGCATGCTGTCCTCTGATCGTCGCTCTATGCTAATCTGCAATGCGGGGTAACATCGAAATCACACTAAGGTTCAACTTACGCATTCACAGCACTTCCTCGAATGACCGCTCTGATGGGATTTCCATCCCGCAATGCGGCAGAAAGTCGCTTCACATATATAGCGCCCACACCCTCTGCTCGACCATACCCATCGGCAGATATGTCAAAAGTGTGAGATTGTGCGGTCGGCGACAAAACGCCACTCTTTGCGGCACCTATGTGAAGCTCTGGCGACAACATCAGGTTCGCGCTGGCTACGATAGCACTTTCGCAATCACCAGTCTTCATTGCGTTCAATGCTTGGTGGAGAGCATATATTGATGAGGAGCAAGCTGTATCAACAGTGAAGCTGCAGCTTGTTAGCAAGTGCTATGCTTCTCTAAAAATCCCCTGACAAGCGTGAAGGGGAATGTTTGGCTGTCTTACCTTGGTCCATTGAGGTTGAAAACATGACTGATTCGATTCGACATCACTGTCGCTCCCGAGCCCGTTGCTGTGTATCTGTGTATATAATTTGGATCGCGCGTCTGTCCCGGTTGGTAGTCGACCGAGAAATTCGCTACATAGACTCCAGTAATGGAGCCCGAAATGCTATCCATTGTCGTGCCGGAGCTTTGAAGGCATTCCAGAGTCACCTCGAGCAACTTTCGTTGCTGCGGATCCATATACGTCGCTTCCAGGTTGTTGATGCCAAAGAAGTTGTTGTCGAACTCGCGGACATCTTCCTTGATGAAGTACCCACCAGGTACGTTCGTTGAACCACTGCGGGCACCGCCTTCTGGATGGTAAAACCCCTTGATGTTGTACCTCTCAGGCGGAACAGGACCTTGGGCTGACTTTTCGTCGACCATGAGTTTCCATAAGTCTTCTGGGGAACAGACATTGCCGGGAAGGCGGCAAGCTATTCACAAAGTTAGCGTTTATTCCCTACTGCTGCTGTTGTACAGGAGTGCAAGGTACATTACCCATTCCCACAATGCATGGCGGGTCGTCCTTGAGAGACATTGTCTCGACGTTACAGTCTAATAACTCGTGGTTTTCGTGCCCTTAAAAGAAAATCTAGTACTCGAAGTCTCAATGTTGTGCAAGGTTGAAGATTCCCGAATCCCAAACACCAAGATGGGGGTGTTCATTTATGACAATGGCATCGAGTCAAAACCTCAGCATCTAATTGGCTTGGCCTATTGACGTTATTTGTTCGCATGCAGGGGTGATCAATCTCCCGTCAGAGAAGCTGCAAGAGTATCATGCCAATAGAAGAACGCGGTCAAAAGTCCGGGAAATTCAGGGTGCTTACAGGGCTAGGCCCTGTAAGCTCCACTTTCAACCCCTAAAGGGCTCCTAATTTGGATAAGCCCTGTTGGTGAGCTAGCAGGGTTACAATTTGGCGTTGTGCTTGCTAAAACTACAGGCTCTTATAGGCTTAACGCCCTAAAAGGTATAGTGGATTTCAAGGCCAACAGCGGGGTTATTTTCAGTGTTTTGAGAATGCCCCTCTATTATCCTCTACGCTGCGGCCAGCTTTGCGTCCCCAAGCTCTGTATATAAAGGCCATCATACCTTCTTCCTTATAAAAACAAGCGCCATTCTTATTATTCTACTACCCTTATTTTAAGATTCAAACCTACTTCGCTCACTCAATTGACTACTCGTAGCTCTAACGTCACAGATGATTATCGCGGCGGTGACGTATGCGGCATGGCGCCGGCTAAATCCTACTTTAAATGATCCGCCATGCATGAAGGAATCTTTATCAGGCCCATTAGGGTCTTCTTAATCAGGATCATTAATCAAATCTTCTTCATTACTTGAATCCCAAGCGTCTTCCCCATTTCTAGGCTCTCCTATTAGTCTATAATAGACTCTAAGATCGCCAAGCTCTGTATCTTCATAATCAAATGCATCGTCATCAAACTCATCAAAAGTATCAAATAAACCATAAACACCTTCCATTTTAACTAATAAATTAATTAAAATTTGAATATCTGCTACGCTGCGGCCAGCTTTGCGTCTCGATCGCTAAAGATTGTCCTAGTTACAGAGCCTGTATATTGCTATAAAATATTAAAAAGCAAAAGCCATCTTTGCAAATAGCATTTTACCTTATCAGCTTTCATTAGACGCAATGCTTTTGGATTTCTATTAACTTCCGGTTATTTAAAGTACAGTTTAAATGTTCGACTCGAGTGGATTTTGGTGTTCTCGCTTTGCAGAGGCACACTAGCTATCATACTCGTTGGCAGCTCGCATCAGGTGTTCTGTGACCCCCCGTTCACCAATACGAGCGATTGCCCAATCGGGGCCCCCGATTCCCTAATCGGACGCTACGATTGGGTAATGGGAGCTCCTTTACGAATCGGGCGCCCGATTCCCTAATCGGGGGCGCGATTGCCTAATCGGGGGCGCGATTGCCTAATCGGATAATATTTGGGTATTGGGAACAAAATAAAGATATATTAAAGACACTTCACCCATACTAAGCTTTACTCTCCACGTCTCCTACTATGTCTAGGTACTCCCATAGCCACCTTAGCCCTTTTTGGTGCCCTCCCCCTAACTAGATCACCTAATTCTCCTTCCCTAGCTCTATTCTCACATGCTTGCTCTATAGCTACTCTCTTCTTTGCTCTCTCAAATGCCCTACTAGCCTTTTGAACTAATATAATTAATCCACGGCTCAAGGGCCTTTATATGTTTTAGTATTCTGGGAAAGTATCTTTACCCCTATTACCCCTATTATTACTCCCTTTAATATCTAAAATTAATAAATTAAACTATTATAATAATATTATAATATGATCTCTCATTTGGGCGTAGCATAATTACTCCGCTTAGTCAGGCTCTGTATACCTATATTTTGGAGTTCTCATACTTACTTGAGCTCCTTTCTAGCTAGCTTTAATTAACTCTTTTACTAGTAATATAACTCCCTACTCTGCTCTATTTACGTATATTATAAACTATAACCTATAGTATAAAAATGTAAGGTATAGTAAAGTAAAGAATATGGGGTTAAGGATATATTTAGAGCGAACTAGTAAGTAAGGGGGTTTTAGCCCCTTTAGCCCCGATACCCAAATATTATCTGATTGGGCAATCGCGCCCCCGATTGGGGAATCGGGCGCCCGATTCGTAAAGAAGCTCCCATTACCCAATCGTAGCGTCCGATTAGGGAATCGGGGGCCCCGATTGGGCAATCGCTCGTATTGGTGAACGGGGGGTCACAGTTCAGCTATCAGACTTACTGGAAGAGTTGCCTCGGAGCCATGTTCCGTCGTGCATTGCATTGCATATACTGAGGCTGTTTGTTTTCTGTAGCAAAGCATAGATAAGTGAAAACTGGAAATTTTTGAGTGAGATTCACATGTGTTTGCTGTTGATACTGATAAGTCTCTTGTAAAATGTTGGTTTTGCGGCACGGACCGGGGCGGGCTACCTGCCACGAATTTTGCAGCTAGTCTGCGATGTCGTGCATGTAATACGGAAGGCGAAGAACAGGTAATACCAACGTCGGATAATTTGTTCCGGCTGTCATACGCTGACTTCTTCACATGCTAGAACATCTTCACAATTAATTTTCGTTGCTCAAATTTTACATCCTCAAAGATTCAGAGATTTGAAACTGAGATCACCACCAACACCATCCAAATTATCATAAGTTATGGCTGCCAAAGATATGCACAACCCAGCAGAGGATTATGTAGTAACACCACACCCCGTCCAAGGCCTCACCCGTGTTGTCCGTCACATTACCGGTCACAATGCTGAGGGCAAGTCAGTATTTCTATCCACCGACGTTGGAGATCATCACCGCGAGCTGGTGAACAAGTCAGCGATTGCAAATATCCTCTACTCAACACATGAGCATCCTGTGAACCTCAATGGCGATGTTGACGTCAAGTACAGCCGCGAAAATGAGGCATGCTCCAAAAGACCAGCTCCAAGTATCACAAACTGACTACATGACACAGCCTGGAATTACGGTCAAGAATGGCAGTGTATGCCGCATGATTGATTTCGCCCCCGGTGGTGTATCTCCCATGCACCGCGTCGAAAGTCTCGATTACGCCATCGTGATTGAGGGTGTCTTCAGAATGGTGCTTGACTCGGGCGAAGAGCGCATCATGCAGCGTGGTGATGTTGCTATTCAACGTGCTACATCTCACAGGTGGATCAACGTCACTGGGAACGGGCTCTTGCCTGCGCGTATTCTGTTTGTTCTGCTTGACGTGAAGGATGTGAATGTGGCAGGGAATAAAGTGGATGGATTCCTTGGTGTTCTCGGGAAGGACTATGTTGGATTACCGGGGCACGAGAAAGCTGCTGTAGAAATGAATGGGGTGGACAATGGATTTTATCAGAGCGAGTTTTGAATTCCACGTTGCCTATGGGCCCAGTTGAACTTCGACCTCAAGTTTAGTGACACTGATATCTTCCTGCAAGTATAATTGAATTTATTGCAATTCAACTGCAATCAATGAATGCGGGAATGTAAGATTTGGAAAGTAAGGAACCATCACGTGTGAGAATGATTATTTGATCGTATTGATATTGTGATATACGAATTCCCATCAAAGAGAAATGTATACAGTATGGGAGTTCTTTCTATTCATGGAAAATCTAAAGTCTCTCACTGAGACACCTGCTCATCTTTCCAAACCAAGCCCTCAGGAACCTCCTTCCATTGTTGGTTTTCATCAAGCATCTCCAACATTTGGTCCCATTCCTGCTTGACCTTTTCGGCTTTTGCAGCGCTTCTAGGATGAATATTCGCAGCGAAGGGTTTTGGAATCATCATCATACCATCTGCGAAACTATCCATATCAGGAACAATTTCCTTTCCAGTCTCGCCATCTACCGCTCTGTGGAAATTGAATGCCCAGAGCAGACGCGAGATAGCTAGAAATATCGATCGGTCAGCAATGTGCATACCTTGGCACTTGCGTCTTCCTGCACCGAAGACGAAATGGTCTCTTTTGCTGACATCCGGGTTATTGGATGAATCTATGGAAGTATGGTGGTCGTCAATGTATCGAAGAGGATTGAATTGCCTTGGATTTGGATGTCGTTGGGGATCATTGTGGATAGCCCTGGAAAAAAAAAAGGGTTAGCTAAAGAGAACTGCCAAATTCAAATGAGCCAGAAAGAACATACCAAACATTTAGAATCACCGCTGAGCCTTTTGGAATGAGATACCCCATATACGAATCATCTTGCGTAACGGCATGAGGTATACCCAACATGAAACCTGGCATCCATCGAAGACTCTCCTTGGCACAAGCCCGAATATATGGGAGATCAGGAACGTTGTTCAGATCAGGCATGCGGTCACCACAAACACGGTCCAACTCTTCTTGGGCAGCTTTTGCAACTTCAGGAAAAATGACCATCGCTTGCACAAAGGCGACAAGTATTGTTGCCGTGGTCTCAGAGCCAGCTTGCAAAAGTGAGCCGCTAATGTACCCAGCGAGGTTGTCTGAGAATTTCTCCTCTCGCTGCATTTGAACGAGATCGACGCACACACAAGGCTGTATGACAGAATTATCATTGCAGGATTCTTGGTTTCAAATATTCGGGATCTCGTACCTTAGCAGTACCATCTTGTAGCCCTGTTTTGGCGTTGAGGAAGAGACCTCGAAATAGCTTCAACTCCCGGCGGTGTATTTCTCTCCCTTCCTTTTTGATGGGCGCAAGAAAGTCGGGTAAATATCTTAAGATGGGCAACAAATCAAAAAGAGCTGCAGTCTGATATTTCAAATTAGACTAGAGTCAGAACACTAGAGAGTCAGGTCCAAGAACACTTCTTCACTTACTCGTGATCCAATCATCTCTCCACTCCGATCAAAAATCTGGGGAAAAAACATAAGCAACTCTCTTAGCAAGATGGACCAGATGTTATTAACATACATAGAATGCTTCTTTGAACCTTTCATCGTGCATGCTCACCGTCCGAAATCCAAACGTCATCTGAGTAGTCAGAGACGCCGTATATCGACGAAGATGATTTATAAAATCACTTGGACTTTCCAAAACGCCAAGAAGCATAGCTTTGTTTTCCAAGTCTTGATATGGCACATATGTTCGTGCAACAGTCACGTTCAGAATGCGACGGGCCAATTTGTGCACCATTGTCCATACTCCATGATTTGGCTGGAGTCGTATGAGCTCCTGTACATACAAATATTTGACTTAGGTGAAAAAGACATACCATGAAGAGTACTCTCAGCCCACCGCTGAGAATATTTTGGCCAATATAAATATCTGGCCTTGAGGAGTAGATAGCACCACGCTTATCCAGCAGGTCCTTAACTGCGAGGTCTGAGTTGAGGACAATCATGACCTTGGCGCCCAGAATCAGTGAATATACAGGCCCATACTGCCGTGCCCATTTTTCGAACTGTAGATGGCGGTTTTTCTGAGGAATTTGGTGCAAGTTGCCGATGAATGGCAAAGTTGGAGGTCCTGGGGGATAGTTCGCTGGCCTATGGCCAATCTTGAAGTATTTTTGTAAAGCAAGAAGAATTACAGCTACAAGGCCAGCATAGAAAGCAAGGCTGAAATTGTAAAGAGACATTTTGATGATCTCCAACACCAACTGTTGGGTTTTCAAATCAGGGCTGCAATTTTCCACAAAAACAAACACTATATTCACTACGAGAGCGGCCGCCTCTCAGCTGTCATCGCGAGGTTATCTACATACACACTCACCCTAATTACGCAGGTACTAAATTCTTGGTAAACAAAAAATTACAGGCCCTGAATATGGTACTAATAGAATATGCATACAATTGTAATCCGATGCGGGGGAAGAAAAGAGAGAGACGACCGGGCCTTGCAAATTGCCAGGGATGTGCTGACCCTTGCATGGAGGGATTGGCATGTGGGAAGGAGGCGTGGGATGGAGGTGTGGGTGTGGAGTGTCTTGCCATATCTGCTGAAAAAACGCTGGCCTACATATATTGGATCGGCTCAGATTGCATGTTGGATACAATGCGACAAACCAAAGGGCAGAAATGCTATGTGACGACATGTGACTGTTTCACTGGCTGACCAACCTGACGTCTTGTGTAACCTGGATCTGTAAGCAGCAACATGTCACGTGCAGTCGTATAAACCTCGCATAACCGCCATGTCGTCTTGATCAAACAAATCATTCCTCTTACCATATTCCTTCTTTCAAGTCCACCAAGCTCTAATCATCATGGCTACCTACGTTATCACTGGCACATCGAGGGGATTAGGCGTAACTTCCATCAAATACTGCCATATCTTACAGCTTGACTGACACTTTTCCTCAACAGTTCGAGATCCTTCGTCAAACCTCCAGCGACCCCAAGAATACCGTAATTGGCCTCGTCCGCGACAAGGCTTACACCGATAAGAAGATATCAGAAGAGTTGAGTGACCGCAAGAACATCCACATCTTTCAAGCGGATATCACAAGTTACGAAGATCTCAAGGTAGCGTTGTCTGATGCTGCTTAGAGGCGTTCGCTCACACCACCCTAGAAAGCCGCCGAAGAAACTGCCGCTATCACAGATGGAAAAGTCGACTATCTGATTGCCAACGCTGGATATGTGACCACCTTTGATTCGTTCGATCCCATTAGTGTCCTGTAGGTTCTCCCTCTCTCCTCGAAGCTGGTGCAGAAGGACTGATTCATCCAACAGTGACAAGAATGATCCAAAGGGACTCGCCGCCGACATGCACAAGCTTATCGATGTCAACGTTATTGGCAACATTCATTTTTACACCGCATTCGTCCCCCTTCTGCTCAAGGGTACCGTCAAGAAGGCCATCTGCATCACCAGCGGAATGTCGGATGTCGAGATGGTCAATTCTCTCGCAATCGATACTGGTGCTCTGTACTCCATCTCTAAAGCTGCCATGAATTTGGTTACTGCTAAATTCCACGCCGAGTATAAGGATCAAGGTGTTCTCTTCCTTGGTATCTGCCCAGGAATGGTAGACGTCGGCGCCTTCGACTATGGAGCATGTAAGAACAATTTTCCTTCCAATAATATCACAAGCTGTTCTCTTGGATCTCAACATGGAATGAAGCTGACAACACGTCTCTTACAGTGACCCCTCACCAGATGGAAGGACTGCAACGCCTGATGGGTAAATTTATGTCATACGCACCGCATTTCAAAGGTCCCGCTACTCCAGAGAAGGCCATTGGAGATGTTATCAAGACATGGGACAATGCCACCCTTGAGAAGAATGGAGGAGATTATATCTCTCACTTGGGCAGCAAGCAATGGATTTGAATTGCAGACACATGTTAAAGTCTCCTCCAAGCTTGCCTAGTGTTGTTGGGGGAGGGTGCATGCATAGCTAGTCTTCTTTCCTATGAAATACGATCATCCATCAAAGAACCCGCTCGTATCTCAATGAATTAAGTGGATCCTGATTGTAAATATGTGCCGATTTTCCATGAAGTAAATTGACATTGACGACTGCGGGGTCGAAGCTACCCCGCATTATGTAAGCACGCCACTCAACAGCCGTTGCAGCAACACTTCTCAAGCTCTGACATTATATTTTGTTTTGCGAATAAAGTTGAGTAAGTCTATGAAAACTGAATGCAGCTTCTTTCTGTCAGATAAACCACATTATCGAGATTTGCTCATAAACCGGGGATTCACTTCATGCCAGCAAGGGATAGGTAAGGTTCAAAATCATCAAAATACATTCTAAATACGAAGCATTCTGAATGCAAAAAAGTCTAATTTGTGTGCCAACTCTCCACCTTCTTACTGCCTTCTTTCATCGCCAATCCTCCAGGATGGCTCAATTGGAAATAATAGGTTCATAGTAGCGGAACCTATTATGCGGATCATATTTCGCCTTCAACCCACGTAGCCGGTTCAAACGCCACGGCTCATACCCATATACAGACTGTAGGCTTTCGTATGAATTTCCTGACGCATAATTGACATACGTCTGTGGTTTATCATTCCCTATCCAGAGTGCTCGTGCCTCTTGGGCCCAGGTCTTTGCTGGTGCTTGATCAGATGATCCTGGCGCTGCGGCGGCTAGGAAGTATCTGAGAAAAGTCAGTCAATATTCTCAAGCAAAGGAGCAAATCTAGTTCTACTTACACGATAATGTTAGATTCGCGGTGGGGATATGCGGTAGAGTCAGATGGGATTGCCTGAACGGCCTTGTTCGAGTACCCTTCGTGTGCGTAACGAGCAGAGAATTTGAGATCGGGGTACTGGGTGATTTTCTGCACGAACTGGTTGTAGAGCTGTCGCTGCGCCGTTACATTGTACTTGATCAGAAGATCAGTGGAGTGAATGTAAGGTCCGTCGCTACATGTTCCGTTTTGCTCGCCTGTGCCTTGAAGAAGGGCAATGTCAGGATATGGCACATCTTGCACATTCTCGGAGGCGGCGCCGATTGCGTTGAAGGGTTCAAGGAGGGCTTCAGCATCTGCTGCCGGTCCATTGTAGGCAAACGACCAGCTAAGAACAGGCTACTCTTGGTTAGCTGTCCTGGATTAAGGAGGACAGAATTCCTTGTGACTTACCTCGGTGTCACTGATGGAAAGATCTATGGCAATGATGCCAGTCTCGAAGCTCATCAAAACAGGCGTTGTGCCGTTATCTTTGGTGTGGAGATCATTCAGCGCCTCAAAGACAGCCTCCAGTTTATCCCCAGTCCAGACATAAGAATGGTAATGCCATGTCTGGGTAGACTTTGGATAGATCTTGGCTCTGTAGCTCGTCACAACACCAAAGTTGTGACCAGCTCCTTTCAAGGCCCAGAACAGATCTGCATTGCTTGTTGCGTTAACTCCAATCTCATTACCGTTCGCCAAGACGAGGTTGAAGTGCACAATGCCATCTGCAACGAGTCCATGAAGACCCTCAAGACGCCCATGGCCACCGCCAAGACTTAACCCCACCAAACCTACACAGTAGGCAGCACCGGTACCTTTGCAGAATCGGTGTCAGCACTGATATTGCCAAGAAAAAGATGCAGATGTTCATGCACGGGAAACTCACTGGTTACCCAGCCATTGTCCCACAGATCTGCGATGACTGGACCGGCATATACTCCACCCTGGAGTAAGACTGTTTGCGAAGCAGCATCAATTTGGAGCCCCTGTAGCTTGTCCATGCTGATCTGCAAACCCTTGAAGCTATTCAGACTCGAGGTAATTCCATGGCCGCGATTCCTCACGAGGAAGTCGATGCTGTTGTCACTGCAATATCGAACCTGTATGCATATTCAAGTAAGCCTGCGTGTACTATCAATCGCTGCATTGCTACGTTACTGACAACTTTGGAAATATCAGATTCTGCTGCCACCTCCACTATGACCTCGAAATCTGGTTGTATGTAAGTGATCCAATACGAGGTTAGGTTGGCATATGCAGCGTTTGACGATCCGAAGATCAGAGATCCTTTCGATAGGTGAGGACCCAATTCGTTTTCGACAGTATTGACCATCAGGTTCCGACGTGTGAGAGGATTTGCTTGGAAGTAACGAGGTAATTCGGTATGCAGGGGAGAGCCGGCCACGAGTGCATGCAGGAGCACAAGGCACCCTGCAGTGAAAGACAGCAGACGCACCATTCTTCAAATTAAATTTTCTAGCAGTTTCGTGATGTCTTCAACAGATGTAATGTCACTCTTTTTTGGTTCCCTCTAACTTTTCGACCATTGCTCCATCTTATACCAACAAAAACTGCCTGGAATTCTTCAGAATCCACTGACCAGATACCCACTCCCTCACCCGTGCCTGTGCCTCACGCCTCTCAAGCCACGAAATCATTGGGGAAGGCAAGCGTGTGCGGCGTCTGAGTGCAGCCACACCCCCTTGCTAGCGTCTGGCAATGTCTCACCGGACGAAGGGATAACGTGAGATCATCTGAATGAATACCCTTTTCACGACGCCCAGTCCGCGACTCGTGGCTTAACCGGGATGAAAACAGGGGCTTGTCTATCTATAGGAATAATGCGGGCTCCAGGGCTTACGGAAAGCAACTCGACCTGTGACCCCCCGTTCACCAATACGAGCGATTGCCCAATCGGGGCCCCCGATTCCCTAATCGGACGCTATGATTGGGTAATGGGAGCTCCTTTACGAATCGGGTGCCCGATTCCCCAATCGGGGGCGCGATTGCCTAATCGGATAATATTTGGGTATCGGGAACAAAATAAAGATATATTAAAGATACTTTACCCCTACTAAGCTTTACTCTCCACGTCTCCCACTATGTCTAGGTACTCCCATAGCCACCTTAGCCCTTTTTAGTACCCTTCCCCTAACTTGATTACCTAATTCTCCTTCCCCAGCTCTATTCTCACATATATGCTCTATAGCTACTCTCTTCTTTGCTTTCTCAGATGCCCTACTAGCCTTTTGAACCAATGCAATTAATCTATAGCTAAAGGGCCTTTATATGTTTTAGTATTCTGGGGAAATATCTTTACCCCTATTACCCCTATTATTACTTCCTTTAATATCTAAAATTAATAAATTAAACTATTATAGTAATATTATAATATAATCTCTTATTTGGGTATAACATAATCGCTCCGCTTAGTCAGGCTCTATACACCCATATTTTGGAGTTCTTACACTTACCTGAGCTCCTTTCTAGCTAGCTTTAATTAACTCTTTTACTAGAAATATAACTCCCTACTCTGCTCTATTTACGTATATTATAAACTATAACCTATAGTATAAAAATGTGAGGTATAGCAAAGTGAAGAATATAGGGTTAAGGATATATTTAGAGCGAACTAGTGAGTAAGGGGGTTTTAGCCCCTTTAGCCCCTATACCCAAATATTATCCGATTGGGCAATCGCGCCCCCGATTGGGGAATCGGGCGCCCGATTCGTAAAGGAGCTCCCATTGCCTAATCGTAGCGTCCGGTTGGGGAATCGGGGGTCCCGATTGGGCAATCGCTCGTATTAGTGAACGGGGGGTCACATAGCGTCCGATTGGGGAATCGGGGGTCCCGATTGGGCAATCGCTCGTATTGGTGAACGGGGGGTCACAGACCCACAGCCTCACTTCGGTCTGAACTCCATTTACTCCCGAAATTTCCAATATTCCCAAATATCAGACCTTGTGCATGATGACTGCAGGCGGGCGGCGTCTTTCGATTTTTCGACAGCGGCCTACGTCTTACCTTGCTTAAAAGTGTTCAGTATTCTTCAGCCTCTCAAGCTCACATCATATCCCCCTATTTTTTGCCTCCCAAGCGCAATTTCAAATTCCATAATGACCCCTCCTGTTCTGGCTACCGGGTTTCCTGCCCCAGGACTTCGGAATCCGAATCGATACATCACCGGACATAATAGCGAAGGAGAAGCTGTATTTTTGCAGGTAATTGTTCTTCAGCACAGTCAGAAGCTCAGAATGAGACTGAAATTCTAGACCGATCATGGAGACCACCAAGGCATCATGCTTGACGGCCTAGGAGCTCAATCCATTTTCTACAGTAGCAATAGCAATCCAAATGAGCTCACAGATAATGCCGACCTCGAGTTCGCTGCCAAAAACAACGTCAGTCATTCTACGCTCACATCCCATGATCAACAATCAGCTAACCAACTACTTACAGCCCTCCCTTCACATGCCTAACGGATGCGTTGTGCGAATGATTGATTTCGTCCCCGGAGCAGCTTCCAATCTACACCGAGCGCTGACTCTCGGAATCGGGACAGTCTGCGAAGGAGAAATCGAGTTGACCATTGGGAAAGGCGAGACGAGGATTCTTCGTCCTGGAGACGTATCAATCAATCGTGGGGCAATGCACATGTGGCGAAATACCTCTAATGAGAAACCTGCGCGTATGCTGTTCGTCATGCTGGATGTAAAGCCCATTATAGTTAATGGAAAGGCTTTGGAGTTTGAGATGGGAGAATTGATGAAGGCTTATGCTGAGTATGCTGATGGAGAGGGGCCGAATAAAAAGACGTAGTATCAATCTAGCAACATAAAAGTGTTTAGGCTGCCAGAAATGCGCTTTTGTAAAATTTGCAGTACATTCGTGAGAATTAGACGGATCCAATATTACCGAGCAGTCTGGAATAGTACAAAGATGATACATCCGAGTGATGCTTCCATCTCAATTGAAGACAGCAATCAACTCTCTTCAATGAAAATTATTCCCCAGTTGCATCCACATTCCTATTGGATCGGCGATAGTGTGTAGTTGCCTTATGTATACAGTGCATGCAGCTTCGCCGTTCCCCTGCGCACCGATAGCGTTGACCGACCTCACACCATCACCAGTGGACTTAATTACATTCCAAGCTCAGTTCTTCATCTTCAGCACTTCAAAAGATTTTTGCCATGACACAACCAAAAAAGTTTGCACTTGTCACAGGGTCAGTTATTCTTTTGAAAATAAATGTCATTCACCCCCTAATTCAAGTACAGATGTGGTCAAGGTGGCATAGGTGAAGCACTTGTGACAGAATACTCTCGTCGTGGCCTCCACCCCATTGCAACTGTACTTCCGCACGAGTCAAGCGATCATTTATCGAAAGCTGGAATCACCTTCTTTCCCCTTGATGTTACTATTGAGGAGTCCATTACTCAGTTGAAAGCCTCAATTCTTGAATTGACTGGCGGACGTCTGGATATTCTGGTGAACTGCGCGTGAGTCTACCTATGTCATTGAGTCAGTTCGATTTGACTTACTGTGTATTTCAGAGGAATAGCTTATACTATGACTGCAATTGACACAGACGTCGCTGCTGTGCAGCGTATGTTTGATATCAATATGTTTGGTCCCATGCGTATGGTGCGCACTTTTCACCCCATGATCATCGCTGCTCAGGGCACTATCGTGAATATTGGATCGATCGGAGGCATCATCCCATTCATATATGGCTGTGGGTACAGTTCATTTTTCAGGTTTAAAAGCGATGCTGAAATCTTGACAAGCATCATACAACGCAACCAAAGCTGCGCTCGCACACTGGGGAAACACTTTGCGAGTGGAAATGGCACCATTTCAGTCCGTTCTCCTCCCCGTTGATAATCTGAGGCTGCAAGACTAATAGACCGTATCATGATAGTGTTAAAGTCATCACAGTATGTCATGTCCAAGATCCTGACGCAGCGTTACGAGCTAAATCTTTCGCTTTTAGGTCATATCAGGTGAAGTGAGAACGAACATTCTGAAGTCCGACACGCATAGAACACTACCAGAAGGTTTGAACCGCGATTATTACCTCTTGTCCAAAGATTTTGTGTGTTCTGATGCATTTCATGACAGGCTCGTATTATTCCCCTCTTGCCGAGAATTTCAAAAAGCACGTCTTGCGAACACCAGGTAAGTGAAACCCACAAATCGATTCATAAAGCGGTCCTCTGACGGAGCTACTACTATTCAGAGGGTGCTACAGATCGCTTCAAATACGCTTCCAATGTAGTGGCACAAAGCATCAGATCAAACCCTCCTGCGTGGTATTGGTACGGTAGCTTTACAGGCTTGACTCGTTTCCTCGACACATTTGGCTGGCGCACTGTTTGGGTAAGAAAGAATGCTTTCGAGCGGAATGACTGAGCTGATCGTGGACTCAGGACTCCATCATGTGGAAGATGTTTAGCTTACAGACTTTGAAACAAGCTCACGTGAATCAAGCAAAGAAGACCGTCTGAGAGTTTGCAATGTTATTTCATGTTGCGTAACGTTCCACGCATGATGATAGTCAACTCATTACACTCATTTGATCCAGCTTCAACTCATTCATAAGAATTATGGCTCAGTAAAGCTTCATCGTGCTCCGGAAAGGGAAGGGGAATGCTTGGTTTTAGGGCGGCTGTTAAGCGAGCAAAAAAGCGGTTCGCGGTCACCAGAAATTCATAGGAGGCTGCTCTGCACTTGTGAAGGAAGGAAAAATATTTATTGCTTGTGATGGGGAAATAGATTCGCTTCTCAGACTTCGTACAATTCCCGTGAATGTTGACATCCTATCTCAATGCCGTCAAAGTCGTGCCACCGTCGACGATGAGAGCGCACCCGGTCATGTAGCTGGACCTCGGGCTGCATAGGAAGACAACAACATCAGCCACTTCTTCAGGCACCGCAATGCGACCAAGCGGAACAGCTTTGTGGATGAATTCTGCAAGTCCTTCTACCCCTTCTATCGCCCGCCTGACCATGGGAGTGTCAGTCCATGAGGGGCAGACGCAGTTGACCCTGATACCATAAGATGCATTATCGAGAGCTGAAATGATCAATGATGTCAGCTTATGCATAATACACCTTTGTGTATTTTGATTGAAATTAGAGTGAGACTTGCCACTATTCTTCGTCAAACCCAAGGCTGCATGCTTTGATGCTGTGTATGGAAGCACGCCAGGGCTAGCCACCAACGATGTTGCCGAACCGAGATTCACGATCGCACCACGTATCGATCCACGGCTGGCGTTCGATAGGGGTCTTAGCTCTTGCATACGCATGGTTATGGAGGCCTCCCGTGTGACAAGAAAAGTCCCAGTGGAATTGATATCAAGAAAACGCTGAAACTCGGCCAATGAGAGACCAGCGATATCGGTGGCCTCCTGGGCACCAATCTAGGGAGACGAAGTCAGCAAGTGGTAGCTATCACACATCTCAGCTTCGGAGTCGGGACAACTAACGCCAGCGCAATTGACGCAGAAATCGACGCGGCCAAATTCTGAAACCGCTTCCCGAAAGAGGTTGCGGACAGAGTCTTCATTGGTTACGTCTACGAGAACTGCTTTGGCTTGGAAATGCGGGTGTGTTGCAACGGCCTGACACTCAGTAACCGTTTCTGCGGCTGCATCAAGGTTCAGATCTCCTATCATGATACCAGATGCACCCTCCTTAGCCAAGAGTACTGCACTGCTCCTTCCAATTCCGCTGCCTGCACGTTTTAGTAAAGGAGATTTCGGCGTTAAGAAGACAGGGGGGAGGAAATACCTCCGCCGACCACCAAAGCATTTCCCGCAATTTCCATGGTTGTTGTCGTGATTGGTGGACAAGGCGTTCCTGCTGATTTTCAAGATTTAGACAAATACAGGATGATAGTGGCTTAGATGTGCTTGTGAGTTATTGGTGAATTTTTATAATAAACATTGACCGCAAAGCAAGGGATATGCAGGGCAGCGGATCCGATATGCATGTCAGACGCTAACGCGGCTGTCAGGCAAGTGCAGAGAATCCGCAATGGGTTTACCCGCTGTATGCAGGCAGGTGCAGCAAGGATCAAGATAAGCAGGGAATTCTGCAAGACACGCCACATAATGCTAGGCACAGTTTACTTACGATTATCAACCAAGAATACATCAATCACTAGCAAGTTTGGAAGCTATCTGTTCAGCTTAGAAGATCATCTTGCAGAATCACAGTCCGTATTCGTATTTACACAACTTTGAATTAAAGATGCAGTGTAACAAAAGTTTATTGGAAATGGCAACTTTGCAAGCATGTTTGCTCAGCTTCGAAGATCATTTAGCAGAATCTCAGGTCTAGATTCGTAATAACGCCGATCTGCTGTAATGAGGCCCGGACCGGAGCAGGAGAACACTCACAGATTCAACTTGTTGGAATTGCTTGCTTGGAAGTGCGAACTTGGGGAGTTTGGGGAAAGTACCATGAGCTAGCTTGCAGAAATACAAACGATTTGGGTATGTTTGGAGAACCAATCAGAATATGGAATGCTTTGTTCTCGATATTGTGTCCCGTGATCTAACGGCTTCCCATTTATAAGTTCGATAACAAAATGTTGGAAGTGAGATGCAAACCCTTAAAACTCAATCATGACTGCTGTCTCCAACGTTACGCAGTTGCCCTCTTTTGACCAAGTGACTGAAGATGCTCACTCCGAGAACGAGGGTCACGGCTTCTGGTGGAGTGCTGTTGGTCAATCGTTCGCTATACTGTTGAAAACAAATCAGTATAGCGAAGATGATCAACGTTTTTATGTTCGTTGGTTCCAGCAATGGATCACGGCTTCATTAGGACCACGACCTATCAACGGCAAACCTCATTATGGGGCAACTTTTGTCTACGATGGCTCACCCGTGGAGTTCAGCGTCAATTGGAAAGAGAAGAAACCCGAACAAACAGTGCGTTTCACCATCGAGCCATGTTCTTCAAAGGCGGGCACGGCGGCTGATCCACTCAATCAACTCGCGGCGAAGGATCTTTTGCAGTCAATGGCCAGAGTTGTGCCTGGTATCGATCTGATCAGATTCAACCTCTTTCTGTCAGAGACTCACGTGCCGGACGAAGAAGCGGATGAGGTTTTGGCAAAGCTCCCAGCGGGAATTCCACGGGCTCGTGTATTGGTTGCTTTTGACTTGGAAAGAGGTGGAATCGTTGCTAAAGCCTACTTCAATCCCGTTTTGAAGGCGATTGCATCAGGCAAATCTATTTCAACTGTGGTTTTCGACGCAATACGGAAATGTAACGGGCCAGCTGGCTCCTACAATGCTTCCATAGGACTTCTTGACGAGTTCCTGGAGTCATGCGGACCTTCTGAGGTACCACATATCTTCACGGTGTCCAACGATTGTGTTTCCGACACTCCAAACTCGAGAGCCAAAGTCTACACAATCGCTCCGATCACGACTCTTAAGAGTGCCAAGAACGTTTTCAGTCTCGGAGGTAGACTTTCTGGAGCAGCTATCGAGGGAGGTTTGAAAGCAGTGGGTGGCTTTTGGGGATATGTTTTTGGCTTCGACAGTCCTCATACAGATTTTGAGGAGAAGGAGGTCTTGCCTGCGGGGACAAGATGTGTTTTTGTTTTCGAGATGAGACCCGGGAAGGAAAGTGGAAAGGTACCGAACATTGAGGTCAAAATGCACATGCCAGCGTTGTGGCTTGGCAAGACAGATACACAAGTCTGTGACAAACTGTCTTCCTGGTTCAAAAGCCATGGCCATGATCAACTCTCAGGCCGATATCAACAGGACATGAATTTGGTATTGTAAGTTTTCTTTCCAAGATTCCCACGTTCTTCGAGATCCAGGTCAATACGGCTGTACTTTTCACCGAGATAACTGACATATCCGTTACAGTCCAAAACACGATTTCAGCACGCCTGAGAGACTGACTCATACTTGGGTATCGCTCACATACACGGAGAAGACGGGTCTCTACATGACGATGTATTACACCCCAAAGCTGTTTGGCCAATCTTCTCCAATTGCCTAACTTGCAACAACATCACGAACTACGTTGAGATACTCGCGTAATTTGTTGGTTTATTCTCGATTGTTCTCCGTGTAGGGCAATAGCGATATGTTTCACAATTTGCGAGATTAGTTATGAATGATATCCATGGCATTGCTCTACTTGATCGCTCCAAAATGCAGCTTTTACATGTGACGTGCGTCTGGGACATTTGAAGAAGATCATTGAAATTTTACGAACCAAACGAGACTCGTTCTTTTTTGGATGATGTTTTCCATTTCAAAACCCGATCGTGGAGTCCACATTCGAATCAGATTTGGGTGTGGGCTATTCCAATATAAAGCCAACATGTAAGATTAATGGAACAGACACCATTCGTTGACTGAAGGCACCAAAAGAGTCGGCCACCGAATCATCATTAAAATCTCCGACTTAGGCTGTCCTCCTTAAAGATCAGCATTTCAATCCTCCCAATCAGTATTCCACTCACTTTCATCCATGTCTGACCATCTGAGCTAATGCAGCTACCACACTACGTGCTTGTCTTGTCTTCACAGGCCCACGGGTATAGTACCACCGTGAACAGGGGAATCAGTGGCTTTGTAAGATGCCTGGCCTATCGGCGGTAGAAATGTACTGGGTATATAGACGCCACTGCATCGCGGTAGAGAGCTTGTACTTGAGAACGAGAACGAGAAATTTCCCAGCCCATCAGTAAGCTTCTCGACAACACAAAATTTTCAACGCACCAACTTTCTTTTACCTTCACCATGGCAGCACAAAGGATCCCATGTAAGGTCATCATTGTCGGGGGTAGCATTGCTGGTTTGTCACTGGCAAATATGCTCGAGCGATTTGGCATTGAGTTCGTCGTTCTCGAAGCTTACAAGGAAATTGCTCCTCAGGTGGGCGCGAGCATTGCAATATATCCACATTTTGCTCGCATTCTTGATCAGATAGGCTGTTGGTAAGCTCTTCGTCTTTCAAGGTAGTCGGTACGAATCCGCTGACTTGCATGACAGTGAGTTAAAACGGCGTGGAAATCCATGCTTCTATTTCTTGACTGCAACGACCAGTGTATACTAATTCATTTTGGCGAAGGGGATAGGGTTCGAAATCTGGTAGACAAGACCGTTAACCATGGCTTTTATCGCAATGAAGAAGGAGAGTGTATTTTCGACTTCCGCGGCTTGGCAGATGGCCTGGAAAGAAGGTATATTTAAACCCTGTGTATTTGATACATCTGCAAATCCTTAACTTAAAAACACAGACATGGTTATCCAGTGATTTTCATCGAGCGTCAGATGCTTCTGAAAGCACTATACGAGAACCTTCAGAGCAAGGAGAAAGTCTTCCTGGAGAAGAGATTTGTGCAGATGGAACATAAGGAAGATGGAGTTCGAGTCACTATGCAGGATGGCTCTAGCTACGAGGGAGACATCCTCATTGGAGCTGATGGTATGCATAGCTCTGTACGAAAGAGTATGCATAAATTTGGAAAGAGTGTGTCTCCGAAAAGTTTCGATCACGACGAGTATTCCAGTAAGTGAACCAGAGTCTTGCCATCAGCTGGAGACAAGCTGATTTGTTTATCCAATTCAAGAGGTGCCTTGCACGTATAAATGCATCTTTGGCATGTCATATCCGACTAAAGGAATCGAAGGAGGGACCAACCACATCGTTATGGGTGAAGGACACAGCTATCTGATTCTGACAGGCCCTGGAAAAACTTATTGGTTTTTGCAGGTCAAAAACAGTGAGACGACATACGGAAAGGGAGTTCCAAACTACACGGTCGAAGATGAACGACGCCTTGCAGAGTCGCATTTTGAGGATCGACTCAATGAATACGACACATTCGGAGATCTCTACCGAAATAAAATCATCTCCAGACTTACTCCGTTGCATGAATATCAGTGGAAACGATGGTACTTTGGCCGAGTCATGACTATTGGGGATGCCAGTCACAAGGTCAGTCCATAGGGGCGCCACAACTTGAGTTTCGAATTTAGGGGCGGGCTGTCCCAACCTTTTGTCAGTTTAACTAACGAGATTCTTCTATAGCTCCATCCTATTAGCGGAAATGGTGGCGCTGCAGCCATTGAGGATGCTGCAGTCCTTGTGAATGCACTGTTAAGCAAGCTCGGACAATCACCAGGACATCTCTCGACAAATGATTTTCAGGATATATTTTCCAAGGCACAGCACGATCAAGAAAACCGCACAGCACACCTTATTGACCATGCTACCAAAATGCAAGACTTCGATGCAATGGAGAGTATATTCGCACCACTCATTGTCAGATTTGTCATTCCAAATCTCACAGATGATGCAGCTTTGGCAATAGTTGGTGCAAACACTGTTCAAGGGCAAAGAATCAAATATCTACCAGTGCCAAAACGAGATCGATATGTGCCTTACGAGGACGAATTGCCAGTAAAGCCTCTGAACATCTATCACATTGACAAGTTGTTCTCCATGAATCTTCATGCATTACTCTTCTACCTAGCATATAGCTCTTCTAGCTTTAGTCAGCATTTGACCAGGTCTTTGAGTGTCATGATCCTAGACCCTTATCTGAATATCATCGCTGAATACTTCGTCCCAACCATTAGAGAATCTGGGGACCACCACGAAAACTCCTCATATTCTACTTTATCGTCTATTCTACTTATCCTTATGTGGAATATAGAAGGGCATCGCCGTGGAAACATGGCTTCATTGGGATCATGGTAGGTTCAGCCATCTTCACATTCATTCCTCAACGAAGTATTGATCCAAGAACTTTTAGGACGGCCACCGTACCTCTCGTTGCTGCATTAGCATTTGCGGATCCAGCGACTGTTGTGGCCCTCTACTTTCTTCTTGCGGTATGCAATTCCTGTAGACCTGCGTACTCCTCGGTAGCTGGAAGGCCAGTGGCAATTATGGCTGTTAAAGCCTCAATAGTAACGAGTTATGTCGTTTCCGCGGGACTTTTAACTCTGAAATTGAGCCCTCCAGAGTTCCGCAGGATCATCCAGAGTTACTCTGTCGGCCTTGGACCATACATACCACTTCTCATCTCTGCTCTTGTGCAGCTCCTCACATACATCATTCCACAAAAACCTGAGAGTACAGACAAACAGCCCGGGCTCGGAAAGGAACATCTGCGAATATACTCCAACGAAGACTATACACCATTGTTGGTTCTGTACAGAATCGTATTTGTTCTTGGTTTGGTCACACACATATCTGAGCTGGCCTCATTCCACAATCGCCACCTGGTGACCATTAACATGGTTGCTTATTGCTTGCAGAGCGCCTTGGAAATGCGTAACTTAGGCTACACAACAAATTTGAAAGCTATCAGCGCAATGATCGTAATCTTATTGGGGACGACAGCTTTTGGTCCAATTGCGGTCTATGCTTTGACCTGGCACTGGCGAGAATCTGTAATCTACAGATTGAGCAACGGCGTCTCATAAGTAAGGTGTACGGGAAGGGTCTATTAGCGCTCTGCTTCTGAGAGCATTCCCAGAGCAGGAGAGTATCGAGAGTATGTGTTTGTTATAAAAGTTGAAATGGGCATTATGTTGAAACGGGGATTATCTGGAACGAGTGGACATTCACTTTGGTAGACAAACAATTCATTGTGGTTATATGAAGGTGCATTTCAGAAATCCATAGTGTCTACGTTTCAAGTCACAGGAGCACACCCATTCTGGAAAGTGTGAGAAGGACCACCAGTATCTTATTTCGAGACTATCTTCTCATTGCTACCCCAATCTGCAATACTCCAAGCCCGAGAAATCTTGCCATCCACAATCTGGTACGTGAGGTGCTCCGCAAATTTCCCTTGGGTTCCCGTCGACTCAACCCCAGCCAGAGACGAAGGCACGGTACCGGTAGCTTCGAGTCGTACTGCCACTCGTTGTGTCTTCTCATCCGCAATGATGGTGTGAAGATCGACGAAAAGGTCTGGAATCGCCGTTAGAACGCCTTGCATGTTTTGGCGGTAGATGTCAAGCGTCAAAGGTGTTCCTTTGTAGGTAACCTGTGGCTGAACAAATTTATCCCAGTCCGTTGCTAAGGTCCGCTCGTTGATACAGGCCAGATATGATCTGTAGAGTTCTTCGAGTTGACTTGTTGACTGCAACTTCCCCAAACTTTGGGTCCCAAGACTAGGACCGACAAGATCTGGTATGTACTCGGCTTCTGTGTTTGTCAATTGGCGATGAATCGCCTCCTGATCGGCCAGACTGATTGTCTTGGACAGCTTCCCATCGACAAACCAGTTTAGGTGTTTCTCAACGACAAGCATGGCTTTATCTGGAGGGCCCAATCCAAAAATCTGTTTCGAGGGCTTCCACTTCTTGAGAATAGTGGAGGCCAGCTTTTGGGAGCCCTCGTCGACCGTGATGGCATCTACTTCGATCTCAATTTCACCATTCTCCTGCATATACGAAGCAAAACTCTCGGGAGTGTACTGCTGCCCGTTCAAGTCGTATTGGGGAGGTAAGAATGATCCGATGTCACCCTTCTCGTTGATACACTTGATAAAAGCTCCGTATGTGCCCTCCATGCCTTCCATTGTTGCTGCTAATGTCAAATGGCGGTGTCTTCTTGGGGATGTGCGTTCTTGCGAAAGGTGAGCCAAAATAATAGGCCTAAGTTCGAACTACTCCACGCAAATGAATTTGGAAGTCGCACTTCACGCATCAAAAAACCTTTCTGTGTATCTGATGTTCTCCAATGGAATTGCATAACCAAAATATTTGACCCTTTTGTGGAGGCCTGCATCTAAGCGAACCTCTGAGCTTGCCCCGCTTTTCTCCCCCACTATCAGAACAGCATGCATGCGGAGTGGCCAAATATTCAATTGTTTGAGCAGTGAAATCCACAATCTTCGTCAAAGAGCTCACCGGATAGAACATAATGCCCCAGTGCATTCGCCATCTCACGCTGACCGGAGCTACGACGGCAGCTGCACGACTATTACGACTACTGTGTGGACGAGGTCATGATCGTCAGGGTTGATATCTTGCAGGGGCTCTCATATATCCTTATCATTGTTCTTGCCATTTTCTTGCGTTGACCGTGCCGGTGCATGTGCATCGGTGGTACTGCAGGACCTTTGCATTTCGTGCAACGGTAAGGTAACATCTCGCATGTGGTTTCCCTATGTGGAGCTTCCGGTCAGCTATGCATATGCACTTGGTGAAATAATTTAGCGGCACAGACAGGCCAATAGTGTGTTTCTGCCCGGAAATTGAAAGTGAGGCGTTTTTGCTGAGAAGAAGTTTTGAAAGTATAATGATCCCTGCAGTGGCGTGTTCAATCATCAGACAATTTACTGTTGTGTGAATTCTTTGCGGAAGAAATTTCTGTCCTGCCAAGCGTCTAGCTCAGGTTGAGCAGAATCTCTAATTCTGTGGTCTTTGTTGAGAGCTAATAATACACAGAAGCAAATTTCAATTCTCATCTCATATCTATTTGTTTAACTCCAGAATGGTATGGGCGTGGCAACTTTGGCTCTCACCGCGGCCATTACATCGTACCAAGGTTACGTCTCAAACAAGCTTCACCACAGCTAATAATGCTGCCCATTATCAATTCCTCACTGAAAATGACGGTCTTTGGGGTGTCAGAGAGACACATAACATAGAAAATCCGACTGTCGCAGCTGGATTGTCTGGCCCTCCATTGTAAGAGCAATGAAGATGATCATCGTGTCACAGGAAAGCTGACAAGATGTAGACATATCCATCTTCAGCAAGATGAATATTTTCAGGTTGAGCAGGGAGTTCTAGGGGCAATCACGGATGGAAAAGAGCATGCTATCACCAAGGATGATGGTATACTGAAGATTCCAGCTGGCACCAGGTAATTTTATAGACCTGAAAACCGAGATGCTTGAGTTGAACTAAGTACTTTTTCTCAGACATCGATTCTGGTGCCATAAGTCGGCAACAGAGTCACTGGTATTTCATGGCTGGATAGATCCCCAAGACTTGGATTACCAACTAGACAAAAACGCTCTGCGTAACATTCAAGGTTATTTCGCCGATTGCGAAAGATCGAATCTAAAACCATCAGTCTTTCAGCTCGTATCGTTTGCGTACTATTCGGGGACCGTCTTGACTCCGCCTTTTTGGGTTCCTACTTGGTTTCTCGTTTCTGTTCATCACATTGTTGCACGATGGATAGCCGAAGGATTGCTCGGGTATGTAATACACTCATACTTCCACTTTAACATGTTTGGGCTGATACATTCTATGCAAGGTATCAACCTTGGTATCCTGAGTATACCGTAAAAGCTGGAAGCGAATGAAGAGTCTGATAGGTTCAGAAAAGCGGCTGTAGATAATTTTTTCTGAAAAAAGCTTTGAGTTGATGGAATCGCGGGAGAAAAGATGTTTAAAGCTTCAAGATATTTGTGTGACTTTTTCCAAGTATTATGCCATTTAGTCAGCTGAGAAGCCGGCTATGACGTTTTTATGAATTAATCGCTCGACCCAGTCTGCACAACTATGACCAGGATTGACTATGAAGTGAAGCTTCTCTCGTCAGCGTTGCTTTCTATAAATTCAGAGCTGGTATTGACTTGTAAGAGCAACTTTATTCGGATGTAACTTTGGATAGAATCTTGATCGAGAGAGTAAGTAAATAAAGTCTAAATCTGAGTTCCACCACTATTTTCTTCTTGCACCATTGATTTCACAGCAATTTTTCTGAAAACAAGCTTACAAAAACATCTACAATTATCACGAATATTCTTCGGTTTAATAAATCACCTATGTAAGAAAGACGGGAGCAAGGTTAGTGCCTCAGGCCATGACGGCACAGTAGTCCGCAGCATAATTTATAAAGGTCCTCTGCGCGTGCTGCTTTTTCTTCTTCCTTTTCTTCTTCATTCTGCTAGAGATTCAGCACTTTCAAAACATGCAAAACGGGCTCGCCCTGCACACTTCGCCATCTCATCAAGCAACCTTGCATCTTCTGATCTTGTCATAAATATTTGCCAGAAGCACTTCATGAAAATGCAAACTCTCATCTTTTCAGCCGCATTACTTTTCTTCTCGGCAGTTTCTACTTCTATCGATCCCTTGACTTATCAAGAGAACGGAACTTCTGTTGATGTCAGGCATATACTTACTGGTGATGATGTCCATTGGTCAACGGGTACTGTGGTCGCATTTCCAAACTCCACCGCATTCACCAATGCTACGGAGAGAAGAGTAGCCTGGGAAGCACCCAGCTTCGCAGCTGTCATTACACCCGTTGTTGAGGAAGATGTAGCCAAAGCTGTGAAGCTCGCTGTGCAGCATAACATTCCTTTTCTCGCAACTGGTGGGCGTCATGGATCTGGTGTTGGTTATGGCAAGGTGCATGGGGGACTAGCCATTGACCTTTCTCATTTCAATTATTTTGAGGTCCACACGAACTCTAGTATCGTGACCATTGGGGGTTCCGCCACGTTTGGCGAGTTCCAGCATGAATTGTACGCTGCTGGACTGATGCTCCCATCCGGTTCATGTTCCTGTCCAGGTTATGTGGGATTGGGTGTTGGGGGTGGCATTGGACGCCGTATGGGGTCTCTGGGATTGGTATCAGACCGTATCTTATCGGCAAGAGTCGTTACTGCCACGGGTCATATTCTCGATGTCTCAAATGAGAAGCATGCCGACTTGTTCTGGGGTATACGTGGAGCTGGAGCAAATCTTGGAGTCATCATTTCGGCCACTTTCCAGGCAGCAAAAGCTTCTGATTATGCAGGAGATGGTCACGCGTTGACAATTGACTTGTACTTCGATGCTAAGAGTACAACGGCCTACTTTGAGCACCTGGGAAACATAGCTGGAAGCCTTCCTTCCAACGTTGGTGGGCTACATCTTACGATGTACAATGCCACGGTGAACGATGCCGAGCTTTTCGTCAACTGGGTATGGTATGGACCAGAAGCAGAAGGTCATGCCTTTATTTCCCAGTTCCTGTCTTTTGGACCTTATCTCGTCAAGAACTACGAGTATATTACATGGGACCATGTCATAGCCGTCGCGGGAGACGGAGTAGGACAATCTGGACTCTGTATCAAAGAAGTGTACGCAAATTCCTATGCTTCGAATCTTAAAGAATTCGCCACCTCGACGTTCATCGACACTTTTGCCAAGCTTGCTCAGTTCTACGCCGAATATCCAGAAGGCAGGGGTTCGTCGTCAAATCTGGAATTATTCTCCAACCAGGCTGTTGCTGCTCTGGACAAAGACTTTGACGCATACCCGTGGAGAGACACAAAGGGCTTCTTTACTGTATCAGCCTACTTTGATACTACGGCACAGTCAAATCAAACTCTGTTGGACATAGGGGATACCTTTTGTCGAGATTTAAGAGATAGCTGGTCCGAGACTGGAGGCTATGCTGAACAAGGAGGGGCAATCTATGTCAACTATGCACGCGGTGATGAGCCCATTGAGAGTGTTTGGGGAGATAGCCTTCCTCGGCTTGCTGCTTTGAAAAAGCAGTGGGATCCAAAAAATGTTTTTGCATACAATAATCCTTTGCCAACTAGCTATCCATAGATTTCAAAAGTAGTGGAGTATGAAGACAACAGTCAATACCTTGGTTTAGAGATGTGAATTGTATGTGAAATAAAAAGACAACTTCTTGAGCTACAGAATTTTACCATTCTCGAGAGTATAGTACATATGGACATTCTGTCCGTGAAAGTTTGACTTCACGGATTTGAACCCCTTCATCCACTTTCAACAAGAGACACAGTCCAAGCACGAAAGCAACGAAAAGATGTTCGAACCAGCGCATGAGTTTCACTGATCGAGACCTACTCACGTGTTTTCTGAAGGCCTGCGGCTCCCTTGCTCTCTCCCTCGTGCTTGCTCATTGCCTTGTTTTTCGCACCACAGAGCCTCTTCTCCTCAACTCAGAGGTCACCATCATGCGAGAAAATAACAGCATACACGTGACTTCGTCCAGAATACCATGTTTCCCACTTGATAGAAAATCGTGCCCGCCTTCTGGCACAAAGCCTCAAGTTTCCGAATAGCCTCACTCCACTATGCTAAGCCTAACTTTGAGCCGACTGCACAACATCAATTTCCAACAGAAACAAGCAAGTAAGAAAAAACTGCCTCGGATCGGGTTGCACCCATGTTCAGCCCAAGTGGCGCAGCAATGATGCCAATGATGATGTGCTTTGATGGGGTCACTTTTGCAAGCACGCTAATGCACATGCACATGCACTTGCACTTGCAAGCATCTTGGAGCTCTTTCCCCGAGTTGTGGAATTCATCTTACCTGCATGATGCGGGGACCTTCCCGCATTCTTACTCTTTGTGGATTATAGTAGCGGCGTGGCACAGTCTTCAGCTCGTCGTCATTGCCGCGATTTTGCAGATCGATATGCAGGCATCCCAATATAACCAGCTTACCTGGAAAAGCCAAGAATGTCAACTTGCATCGAGGTGATAGGTGTGTGGAATCCGTGCCACATATGTGCTCTGTTCTCGTATGCACCGCATTCGCATACATTCTCGATATTGAGCGTGCATGAACGTTCATTCCCGGCCGTACTTCCGCCTTTCCAAAAAAGATGAGATAGCTTGGGCTTGCAGCTGTCAGTGACCCATGCATGCGCCATAGCCGTTGCAGGAACAGCACTCTGTGATGCAAGCCTGGTCAAGATAAGATGGAATTCCGGGTTCTAAGAAGTGAGATAGCGTATGGTGCGCCTTGTCTCACACTAGGTCGATGTGTTCTTGCAGCCTCGCTTGCATTAATATATGTATGGCGCAGGTAAGATTATTTACTTGTTTGGGATCGTTATTGAGCCAATCTCTGAGTGGATTTTGTTGTTCTCTGAAACATGTGAATTTAGAGGCATTTACATGCGTTTGCTGACTGCCTAAAATATACCTGCTACATAGATTTCTGTGTCATGTCTGTTCCTAGGCGCTTATTTTGAAGAATATCTCGTAAACCAGCAAATGATAATGCAGTGAGTGTCTCCTCATACAATCGCTTCCTGATGATCTCACCCTCTTTGCTGTAAACGAGGGGCGGTAACCTATAAAATTTTATGTCAACATCTAAACAAAATGAAGGGAGTTGATTGGATACATACGGCTGAATCTTGGCATCTTCGACATACTGTCCATGGACCTCCTCTTGCAGGACTGCAGCAGCATGCACAATGGTGCGAGCACCCACAGAACATGAACGACCAATCAAACCCGTCATGATCTGATATGCAAAGTACAATGTTCCCTGAGCCTGCCTTCCCAGATTCGACCCACGACAGAATCCAGGGTTTGTGCAGGTGACGATAACTTCAGTCGGAGAAATATGTCGAACGAGCTCGGTCAGGAACAACTGTCCAAGAAGTTTAGAAGTTCCGTAACGCTCTGACATGTTCCAGCTCGCAGCAGGCTTCTGGAAAACAGGTAGAAGGGGATCTGATTTTCGTTCCTCGAATTTTGACCATGCTGCAACGTCGGATGTGACGAGGATGATGCGTCCTGGTCCTGGTCCAATACTTTTGATCTTGATTACTGGTAGAAGAAGAATTGTGAGGAGAATGTTGGATAGATAGTTGATTTGTATATCCTCTTCGTAGCCGGTTGAACTGAAGGCCTCGTGAACGTTGTAAACTCCAGCATTGAGAACAGCTATATCAAGGGATTCCAAATTCCGAGCGCGACTTACGAATTCGATGATGGAATCGTAGGACGAGAGGTCCAGTTTCCAAACCGTAATACTGCCAGGTAAAAGAGTTCGACCTTCAGAAAGTTGGAGACATGCTTCGGAGCCCTTTGATTCATCGCGTACAGCCAGTATAACTTTGGCCCCTAGATCTATAAGCTGGCGCGCTGTCTCGAGACCTAGTCCACTGTTGGATCCTGTAATTATGGCTGTCTTCCCTGTCAAGTCCGCAGTTTGACGTGAAACTGGTGGAGGACGAACAAAAAACTGACGGTAGAGGAAGTGAAGGGTGCCTGCTCTGGTCTCAGGGCTAATGTTGAAAGTGTGAGCCATATTGACGGAGACTTGGTGGTGTAGAAAGGTAGTGTGTAAGGATAACAGAAAAGGAGAAAAATTTACCGCGATCTCTACTTGGGTCTATGCACGTCAACATCGCACTGCCTACACGAGCCTATCAGAGACACATAACTATTCCTCATGTGGTCTCGCATAGATGTAACGTAGCTGTCTAAATTTGTATAATCTGATGAGACAAACTTCTACCCCAAACTTCATAACGCCCTTTCCCAGGAAACTTCATCTACGCAAAGCAGGGTGGCTCCGTGTAGCGACTCATGGCAGCACGCAAACCATTCCAGTAACTAATCTCCCCATTTGGACCATCAACAAGGTCATTCTGTGCCCATATACCCTCAAGTATCGCCTTGACATGCTTGAAAGACCGCGAGCCGATCTTGCCTTCTGTCCTCGAAATCAGGTCGAGGATACCACCTCGTTGACAGTCTGTCCGAGCTTCGCAGCCCAAGATGAAAACAGGAAATTGTAGCTCACAAGAATCCAGACGCGAAAGAACATTGAAACCATTGAGTACCAGTGCGTCTTTTTTCTGCTGGTCGTCAATAAAGGGACTCGATAGTCGATAGAGGTAGATAGACGTCGCAATGACAAATGCTTCATCTGCTGTGTCTTCTGTGATGATTTTTCGAATTCTCCAGTGAAGAATCTTCAGGTATTCTTTATAGTCGTCAGATATCGGGATGGAAGTAATGTCCCTTGGCACAGAATCGTATACTTGGGATAATAACTCAAGAATTGGCTCGGTTGAAGGCGCGACATAGTTGACCTAGGAGATTCTTAGAACACTGCACGTTTTAGAGGCTTCGGGGACTTACTTCGTAAGAGATTTTCGGCGGAGTCAAGGGAACCTCGGGGTCTTTTACCCAGTGCCGGAGCGTGAAGCGAGTCATAATGTCATTGTAGCAGACCCAGTCTCGTAGGCATTCGATGTCTTCCCTACCCTCAATAATCTGCTTTAGATTGACCGTCTTGATGACTTCCTTCACACCGCATATATAATTTGTCCAATCGCCCGAAGTGCTCGTGGAGGTTTGTATCTGGTGTTCATTTAGTATTTCGGAGTTGGTCGAAGAAGGTAGGGTTGAGAGAAAATGTGAGAGTTTTGTTACCTCGAATGAATACAGTAACATGCCGGCTGCAACATGTTGAACAATTTTTTCAGTATCAAACTCTACACCTTCGGAAGCAGCTGCCAAAGCTTTTAGAGCAGAAATCTTCAGCTCCACTGCTTGCTCTTGGAGACCGTGGCGGTGGAGGGACGAAAAAGCAAGCAGGGCCCTTAGAAGCGCGGTAGCAGAAAGCGAATCACTCGATAAGCACATGCGGAGGAGGAAACTGCTAAGTTCAGAAGGACGACGCCGAAAGGTGGCAAGTGCCTGGGCGGCGGAGCAATGAACTGAGTTCGGACGTTGTCAGGTTTACCATTTCACTGGGTTCACTCGAGTATCTTACAGTGCTGGATCAGATCCCTGTCTGAAATCTCAAGCTTCTGGGGGTTCCAGGGGAGACACAGACCAAGGTCTGGTGGTGAAATTGCTAAGACATGTTAACTTAGCCGCTGTTGTTGCAGTCAGTTCAAAAGGGAAAATCGTGTACCGGTCACACGATAATGCATCTCAATATCCCAAGGGAACATGTGGACAAAACGGGACTCGGATATGAGTATGCAGCCGGCTGCGGCCTTGTTCTTGGGAGACTTTCCGACAATGGAACGACGGTTGTCATTTGCATTCGGCCAACGAAGCCGAAGGCCAGTATGCCGACATTTCTTTGAATGCCGTATATCTATGCAGCTCGGTGCCTCGCTATGCCGCCCAAATCTTTCGTCTGAGAGTGATCTTGATTAGATGCCTTCCTTGTGGTAAGTCAGATGATTTAGGGTCTCCTACATGCGCCCACGGATGACAACACCACTGCACGACTTTGAATAGAGGTCTGCTCCATTTGACGTGATCTACCGTCGACTAGATATTGGACGAAGGTGAAGATAATATTGTTCCATTGTGGTGGCCTACGCGCTCTCCACGTTTATACGAGCCACGCATAAGCGCTAAGCCCAATACGGTTAGGCTCTAGAAGTGTTCACTGGCCAACCGCCCAAACTACTCAACCGCCCAAAATCGCTACCTTCAAAAAATCATAATTCAATACCCACATAATATTTTGCTACTAAATCAATTATTTTCTGAAGCTTTTTTAGCCCCTCAATATGCCTGTAAAGAAAAATCACTATGCCGAATTTCCTGACGATCCCAACGAGCTCTCTGAGAGCGTATAATTACAGATAGCCCATGACAATTATCTCGAGTATAATACTAGCAAGAAAACTAAATCTATTCGAAAATATACGAGAGAGTATAGAATTATATATGAAATCCTTCGAGATTAAATTAATAGAGCAAAACCAAAGAAATAAGATATAGTAGTAAAATAGCGGTTATTAGGGAAGCAAGAGATAGTTATTTAGTATTATATTCGAAAATTGGAAGTATAGGGCTAGCCCCTAATAGTTTATTAGATTCAAAAAATAGTAATTAAGTTACTAAAGATATAAGAAGAAGATCTAAAAAAGAACTTTCTTAGAACGAATTAGTATTAAGGTTTCCTAAACTACTATTCTAATCTTAAATCTCGAATTATACTATCCCTTAATAAAGATCGAATTATTATAGAGGATCTAGAGCAAATTATAAGGTATTTTGAACTTTTTTATATAAAGAAAGTATAATATAATATATATAATAATAATATTTATAATATAAATAAGAAAGAGATAATAATAGAAATACTAGCTAAAGTACGGGTTATTTACTTTAGGAAAACCAAAGCTCCTAAGATTATATAATAAGGCAGTCGAGAATAGGTTTTATTAATTAAGTATATATCTTTAGATAAATAAGTTCTTAGTCTATATATTATTTTTAAAGCTAAGGTTCTTTTTAAGAATTAGATTAAGGTATTACTTACCGGATATATTTATATCTCTAAAAAGAATTAGATAAATAATAAGCTTTATATTAAGTAATTTAAAGAGGTATTTGAACTAGAGATATTAAAATTAAAAAAGAAAAAGTATAGAATACTTCTTTTTAATAGCTATAGTTCTTATATAATACCAGAAGTAGTAAGGTTTTATAAAGAAAAGAAAATAATTTTCTTTTATTTTCTAGCCTATTTAACCTATATTCTTTAACTATATAATATAAGAGTTTTTGGGCCCCTAATATACTTATATTATATATATCTTACAGAAAAGACTTATTAGGGTATAGGATATTTTATTAATAAGCTCAAATTCCTAGAAATATTATAATTAGTATAAATAGATATTCTTAATTACTATAATATTATTTTCTTTTAGAGAAAGTATAGCCTTTTTCTATTTAATCCCGAAATTATTATTAGTATACTACTTATAATAATTTTATAAAAAGAAGAAAATATATAAAAGGCTCTTATATTTCTTTCTTTTCCTATTTCTTATTCTCTTACTTTATCTAGTTAACTAACTATATCTAGTAATCTAGCTTCTTTAATTATTATAACTCTAGAGAATATTACTAATATTAAAGCTATTCTTAAAGTTAATAAAGAAATTAATAGTAAGCTTAATAGAGTTCTTACTTATTAGTTAATAATTTAAGCCTCCCAAATTAATATATAAAGGCATTTCTAAGATCTTTAGCTTATAGTCTAAAAGCTTATAAATTTAGCTACTATAGTAATTACTAAGACTACTTTCTCTTAAATAATTAATAAAAAGCTAATTAATATAGCTAATAAGTATAAGAACCGGAAAAAGATATTAAAAAAGAATAAAGATAAAATTATAGATATAAGAGTAATAAATATTAAATTAATAAAAAAGATACTTGAAGTAAAGATAATTAAGAAAAAGGAAATAGAAAAGAAGCTTATAAAAAAGAAGAAACTAAAGGCTTTATATAAATTATAAAAGGCGCTTTATAATTATATCTTTAATAATTTTCGAAAATAGGGCCCTGATTTACTTTAAGAAATTAATAATTTTAATACTCTTATAATTCGATTATTAAAGCTACTAAATATTACGCTTTACTGCTTTACTAGTAAATTTAGCGTCACGTGATCACGCAATGACACATGCGGCTGGGGCTAGTATTTAGAATACCAAAGCTCCTATATATACGAGCTTCCTTCCTTAGTTTAGAATTCTCGGATTAAGAGCCACTCTACTTTGCTTTCCAAGCCCAGAGCCCGGTTTCGTGATACTAAAACTATTAAAAGCTTTAAGAATACCAAAAGCTAGTAAGACAAAAGCTTTTCTTAAAAGCCCTCTAATTATATATATATTTCCAGAAATCGATTTTCCCAATATCCTTTAACTACTAATAAAGCTTTAATTAACTATACTTCTCTCTTTTACCCAATTAACTATTCCCTCACCTTTAAAATAATAATTTCCCAAAAAGACTATAAGGCAGAGAATAAAAAGAATAAAGAAGCTAGTTAATAAGATAATTGAGCCTCTAGAAATTATTACTACTAAAGAAAGAAAGAGTAAAAGAAGACTATTTTATAATAAGGTTCTTATAAAGGCTCTGGCTAATTAGAAAAAGATATAAGATTTACTATATAATAGCGAATTTAATTAATATTTGAGCTTTTATAATTGAAAAATCGAATAGTACCTAAATTATAATTAAATATTTAAGTAATATGAGCGATTCTTTATTCCAAGAATTAGGTACTTAAATTTAGGCTTATTACCCTACTAAATACAAGTTACTAATTCTTACCCCAAATTTTTTTTAATAAGAAATATTATTATAATAATGCAAAAAACTTTCTAATATACTCTCTTATATTAAGCTATATATTACTAAAGAATTTAGAATATTATATAAGATATTTAATTAATTATATAGAAATTAGTAAGGGATAGAGATAGTAGGGTAAAAATTAGTAGAAAAATGCCAAAAATGCTACTAAATTAATAATTTTAGTAATACTATATAATTTTAAAGTAATATATAGCTATTAGGGGATTGAGAATACTATAAAGTATTAGTATTTAATAGGGATTAAAATTTTATTAAGGCGTTAATTAAATATTAAGATTTTAATTTTTGGGCGGTTGAGTAGTTTGGGCGGTTGGCCAGTGAAACCTTCTAGTTTATTCCAACTAACATCAATAAGAATGAGGAATGAGGCTCTGCATTTGCGGCTGTGCTGTAGCTAGAAACGGGGCCTCCTTTTATGAACGACTTGTGACAGCACGAGATATGGAAAGAGTATGGTGGCATCGAATCCATTAAGCTATCTCTTAGAATCTAAAGGTAAAGAGAGAAGAGATGTAGTTGAGGGAAGCTCGTTTACTTTTATACTCCCTTGGCACGTGACTCAATTCCTGCCGCTAGCTGTATCACGTGACACCGGGTCAGTTGCCAACTGACCTAGCTAACTGACGTGCCAACCGTAACAACGCGAGCGCGCGGAGCCCGTGACACTGTCCCTAACCTGGTACGTACGCCAGAACTGTGACACGACTGCTACTAATATAGTGGGAATTCTAAGAATCTCTTTGTTTTTACTGGTTTGCAGGGCGGTTAGATGCCTGGAAATTCTGGCTAGCGGGAATTCTGGCTGCCTGCGCTCCTTCCAGATTAGGCTTAGCGTAGAAGCACGTGACGAACTTTATAAAGCTCAATTTAGCGGAGGACATTAGTCGTGCTATTCACGACTGCAAATGACTAGCAGATGCCATGTGAATGCACTAATAGTTGCCACGATGTCGGTGCTGAGCAGTGTCACTATCAATGTGTGCCTACGGTATTGCTATGCTTTTATTCAAATAAGTAATCTTTAATTCAACGGAAAAGTGTGATGATGAAGGCTTAATAGTATATATCCCGCAGCATTCAGATTTCCTTAACTCACCATTTCTAGCACGACCTGAGCAAAAATATTGTAGAGTTTGCACTCAAGTATCACTCAAGATCTGCTAGATATAATACTCTCTCCAAACTGTTTTTCCTGCTGTGAAGTCTGGCAGAGACCAATTTCCGTAGTGGTGTCGCAGCCGGCTCACACAGCCGGGCACCACGATCGCATTCCTCCCGGGTGAGGTTTCAAATCACGGATACTTTTGCTGTTATAGATAGTAAGTAGGCAACTGTATCCGGCACTTGCTCGGTATCGGCTGATGTACTGAGGCCATTAGCGGGCTAGCGGACAAATCCGAGAAGCGAAAAGTGATTTTCTGATTTTCTGATTTTCGCGCCCACACCCCCCCCCCCCCCCCCACCACACCTCACTAAAAAAAAAAAGTACAGCATACACGCCTTATTCTCGACTACTCCTAACCCCCCCTTAGCTTGCATAGTCTATAAGGCAAATCCCATGGATTACGAGGTATATCTCTATCTCCCTTACTTTCTGTATCCTCCGTACTACCTATATTACTCGAATTATCTATATCTCCTTCGTCCCCTTCTCCTCTAGTATCCTTACTCTCCTCTACTGCAACCTCCTTTCCTATTGCCTTCTAATCTTATATCTGTCTTTATACTTACTTTCTATATCTTATAGGCAGTCGAGGCTTTGGTATAAAGGGTTTTACAGATATAGAGCGAGGCTTTCCAGACTTGGTAGGATTAGTATTAAGTTAATAGAAAGTATAGACTTTACTATTATTATTATATCTATAATTTATATAAATACTATTAAATTTGCCTTCTATAACTATATAGTATTTGAAAGGACCCCTCGGTCTCTTCTTATTACTATAAATAATATAAGCTTAAGAGAATTCGGTTTTATAAATATATACTAAGCTTGCCTCCAGATTTGCCTTACCTTTCTCTAATTCCTTTAGTTCCCTGCCCTAATATAGCTCTATCTCTCTAACTTTAGTCTTATTATTAATTTGCTTTATTACTTTAGTAATATTATTAGATAATATAAAGAGATTAAAGTATTATTATAAAGGAAAAAAAAGAG